GTTTTAAACTTAAAAGACCATCACGGAAATTATAAACACCAAAACCTTGAAATTGTGATTTCACTTCTGTTAGCACTGCCATCGCCGAACACTGAGGTTGAAATATTATTCAGCGTACTAAAAAATGTTAACTCCAACAAACGAAATAAGCTATCTGATGAAACGCTAAATGGTTTGTTACACACCAAACTCGGCATGACAGGTTCAATTTTGGAACCAGATAGTGTCATAATAAATGCAGCGAAAAAATTAAAAGCCGGTGCTTCAGTTTCAGCATCAGAATCATATTCTACTTCTGACGATTAATTGTGCCTTACTTCATAATTAAGACATTTTTATTTTAAAGAAAATATAACTAGTAAAAATTCCACGCGGACCGCGCAGCAGACGGGACTCGAACCCGCACCCTTCGCAATCCGGGCGAATGCACTGTCCAATTATGCTACCGCGGCCCTCACGGACCGCGTCGAAATTCTTCTAGCCATTCTTAAGCTGCAAGGCAACGCCATCTCGTCGCATTATAGGTAACCCACAATGTCAAACGGACAATTTAAGAATGGCAGCAAAAAGGGTTGGGTATATTTTGTTTTAACCTAACCTAACCCAATCTGTTAACGTTTTGTGATAATGCTATTGTGGTTCTCTTCAAATTGCCAAAAATATTTAGCTAAGTCCGGGATGATTTAAAAAGTTTGTTCTCTTTACCAAGATCTCTCCAGCAAGCTAATTATTATGATTATTAATTAATGGCTTATAGTAAAACACCTTTTGCAACCCTAACTTATTTTAATGTTAAGTGTGTAGATTATTATGACAAAAGATTATTATAATTATGAGTAGGTATTTGTAATTTTATTATTCTGATGTCAGTTGGCCGCCTCTGTGGCACCTGCTACCAAATACTTATAATTCATTTAGCATTTTATAAGCGCAGTCACCTGTTGCCCGCGCTTAATGCCAGAATCGCATTAATTCCTCTAATTTGTGTACAGTGTGTAATGAATGTTTTAATTTTTGCCATATTGTATTAATGACTCTGTAACTTAGATACACGCCCAGATAGAGCATTTTTTTTTTCATTTAATAACATAAAATACTTAAAATAGACGGCTGATTTTATGCGAAATGTGTCAGATTGTTTGAAAGCACTGTGTGTATGTGTACACTGTACGATTTTGTTTACTTCAACCAAGATCTTGTTTATTTTAATAAATCATGAATCCATATGAGCCTGTCAAGTACATGTCCTTTGTAACTGTACGGGGAGCCCATAACATAAAAATTGATTATTTACTCTCTAAATAGAGCGTAACCTAGTAAACATTGCGATAAAAACAGGTAAGGTTTTATATACTTGTGTGCGTGACACGCAAAACAAAACATGCAAATCTTGTTCCTAACACTAAATGTCATTATTTTTGTTTGGTTAAGATACAGGTTAGGCCACATTCTCCAATAAAGTGGGTAAACTTAATCAAATCAAAATTAGTATATTGATCACATAATTAAAAATGTTAAACGTTGAAATATCTGTAAAACGTAAAAAATTGTACTTGTATATTTGAAATAAATAACTAAAATAACAGCCATGATAATATAAAGCAAACAACAAAAACTTGACAATTATTTTAATTTATTATTTTATTAAAACGATCTGAGCATATAACCATAGTTTTTGCTGGTTGCCAGAAATCTTCTCCGCGACTTCTTCTTATGACGTTTACCCATCGACTTTTCATATTGGGATCGTGAGGTAGACTGGAAATAGAGGACTGTATAAAAAAACTAATAACCTCCAACGGCTTAAGCCTCCCTTTGTCATATCTCGGCAGTTAAACAAAAATAACTTATGTATTTTGAAATTATACAGGGCGTCCCACGGCTACCTCACACGGAGGGAAAGTATATTAAATATTGAAAATAGGATATTTTACTGAAATAAGACATCATTTTATTTTTAATAATAGCTAGAACTATGTCCACAGATTTTTAAAAATCGCCTGTTACTTCTAGGAATCAAACTCGTGAAATTTCGAAAAAAAAACACAACATATTTCATGATAACCATCGAAAGGGTTAATCATAAGGATTACTTTTTTCTAAACAACATAGCATTTTAAATGAAAGAAATGTCTTATTACGTGATAAAAATAAACAAGTGGTATACAAACTGTAGTAAACTGTAATGCTTAAAAAAGAAATACATAACGTTTTTGTTATGTTAGTATGTATGAATTGATATGGATAGATGAAACAGGTGAGTTTTTGAACTCCACAACTTTCACAAAACAGTGACGATATCAACACTATAGGTCGTTTACTTTTAATTTTATTTAAAAAAAGTTATCGTCATTGGCATAAGAAAAGGATTCAAGGTCTCTGTTCTATATCTCTCACTCGTCCCGTTTCATCGGTAAAAGTACTCAGTCTTAATTTTATAGTCTATCCATGGGCCCAGACCCTGAAGCTTTTATTTTAAGTTTTACAAAAAAGGATTAAATTTTTTGATATTCCTTCCACTTTTTCGTGACACTAAAATTTATATCGATATAAGAAAAGACTTTTCTCCATCCCACTGCTGCAATCGGTAAATATTTTCATTACGCTATACTTACTTTTTTGGGGAATTTTGTAATGAGACTCTGACATCACTTTAAAAATGTCAAGATGGAGTCATATTTTTTTTTACTAATATAATGATATACTTTTATTTTTGTAAGGTGAATAATGAGTTACTTACCGATGGTAAGTGATTTTGTTGGTTGTTTTTATGCGTCCTTTATAATTTCGGCAATTTTTTTCCAGCATCTCGGCATTTCAAAGCCATAATTTCAATACGAATCTCTGTAATTGACGTGAGTATCGCTCAGCGTTACATTGAAGACGACTTTCATTTGGTCGATTGAAGTGACGGGAAATGACTTAGAGTCAAGCAATTGGCTGATCTTTTTTTAAAGTAATTAATAACTAATAAATAATCAAAGCATAAAAACTGATAGAACTGACAAATGAATAAAACTGTTATTAATTTTGAAAATAGAATATATTTTTGAATATTAAACTGTTAACCAGTTCAAAGTAAGTCTAAAGTGAAAGCCTGGTATGCTTGATGACGGAAAGCGATCTGAACGATTAGTATAAAATAAATTATTAATTTTAAGTAAATTGGGTCAATAATGAAATGATGCGTCGACAATGTACGCGCTTGCTCGTACATATACATATTCCCGGGCAAGAATGAATGAGATTAGTATGGGAAGCGGAATGAGGACCAAGGTATCAAGGTGAAAACATTTCGTCTAAAATAATGATAATTATTAACAAGATGTTTGGCATTTTGTTTAAAATATCTAATTCAAATTTATTTAGTGTCGCTGTTATTTGCTTAACCCTATTAGCTAAGAGGAGCTAGATGGCGCAAGTGGTTAACGCGTTCGGCAGTGGTTCGGCGTACTGTTATAAGTAGTTGACTTTCGATTTATCGTCATCTTCGTCCATTGTACTAAAACTTACATAGTTATTAATGCTGTATAGTAGATCAATCCAGTAAGATCTGGAACGAAATTCCCGCAGCGGTTTTTCCTTTACCAAAGAAGGAAGAAAGGAAGAAAAACATTTTATAGGCCTTCACTGCATGAATATCGAAATCAAAATGGTTATAATAATAAAATGTATACATAATAAAAAAACATGGGCACAAATTACGTACGTAGGTGCTTGCCGTGTAAGGCCAATTGGACGCTGACTCAGCTATGCTCTGTGGTAAACGCTTTCGCAATACCACAGCAGCACTGATTTTCAGCCAGCGCCTTATGGCAAAGGTGATTGCGAAACGCCGGAATAAAGCGAAACAAAAAACAGAATACATTGACATAGTAATTATACATATATCGTTATACATCTCTTATCTATTAGACAAGTCCGTCCGTCTGTCCGTGGTGCTGTTTCAGCGGCCAAACCGTAAGAGATAGATAAAGAGAATGTTTAAGTTATAAGTTGAGAATAGTCTGATAAGACTACAAACCCGATGTGAGTAACGTAGTACTTCCGGTTTTCGAGAAATCACGTGATTTCTATTACAAACGAAACCACACAAAATCTCCGAAGTTCTCAATTAATTGAATCCTGGTGAACATTTGGTTCACTGGTTTGCTAGTTATTTTATAATCAGTGAAGCCTTTCAGCCTTTCAAAAGACTGGTAAACCTTTACGTTCACCTTTTCGTTGTCGGCAACGCAGTTGGTTTGAATGCTTAAATAGTAAAAAAGTAGAACAGGACACGACGATATACAACGTGTCCTTCTCGACGGCATTATGTATCTATTAATCAAAAATATTATTTAATTAATTAATCAAACAGACAGGCAGACAAACACTAACGACTGGCTTACACATTTATACCTCTTTAATGAGCGTAAAGTTCATTTGTCAGCTTAGATTAAAACAAAAAGGAAAGATACGGTACTCTCATACCACCATCAAATAAAATATGATCCGACTCAACTACATAAACAACTTTCACACTCGCACACGTTTGTATATAAACATGCAATCGAACGAGCGAGACAGAACTGTACGCTTCAGCTCTAGCAAAAGGGCGAGTCCGCTTCCGAGTCCGTACGGCTGAGCGATACGTAAATAACATTCACGACAAACCGTGATTTTTGATAAAAAATGATTTAGTTATATTTTTTTTTTATTATTTTTAAAGCATGTAACTGCTTGATGTTTAAATCTAAAGAAAATATAACTAGAAAAAATTCTGATTTTGAACTATTTGTGTTTTTTTTAAAAGCATCGAAGGCACGGTTTTACTTTTATAACACAGAATGCACGCAATATTATTATATTGAGTACACATGCACCGTGTTTGAATGTCCAATTGTGACTAAAGCGAATTGTGGTCATTCACTTTTGAGCCGCGAGTGCCGTATCTTCCCTTTTTGTTTTCATCTAAGTTTGTCAGGATATTTAGATAACGTCAGATTTTATTAACTCGCACTTCTAGATCTAAAAGAAGTAAGCTGTGTGTGCGATGTGCTTTGCAATAAAAAATATGATTCGGTATTATAAATTAAACTTTAATTTTTACAAAAGAAATTTTAACAAGTACTTATTATTTACTAACTATTTAACTATTAACAACAATTTTAGAAAACATAATAATCAAAGAAAATTTAACTAAAAACAATTCCACTCCGTCATTTCGCCCGGTTAGCGAAAGGTGCGGGTTCGAATCCCGTCTGAAACCAGGACCAAGTGCATTTTTTGTAGTACTTTTTTTCTAAGATTTATACATCTAGCATTTAAATGCTTAAAATAAAAAATATAATAAACATTATTACTGATAAAATCTGAACTTATGCCGCAATTACATTTGGTCATCAGCCCGTATTCGGGTGCCCGGAACACCGGTTACATTGGAATACGGGCTGGAATACGGTGTCGGGTAAACAAAAGGAAATCTACCCGGATACGGGCGTACTCGACTCCGTTCCTTTACACTTAGTCGTTTACCCGAATTCCACTCGTATTCGGGCTAACGACCAAATGTAATCGCGCCATTATAATAGATTCACTATTTTTTATTTGATAGCCACCAAAATTTCAATATTTACTAGCTTCTGCCCGCTCCTTCGTCCAGGTTATTTTTTTTTTTGAGAATCCCACAGGAACAATATTTTTCTGAGATGAAATCTCAAACCAGATAATAAACTATGTTTGTAAAAAAAATCATCCAAAGCCGTTCAGTTGTTTTGTGTGATTTAGTAATAAATAAATATACAAACTTTTACAATTGTAATATTAGTAGTAAGTAGAATACTACTATCGGTTGTAATGCATGTAGAAACAATATACACAATATGTAATTAATTAAATCTACTATATTTAATAGAAATGATGTCAGGGTACATTGAATGAATTTATATTGAGTCTGTCGGTTAGATTATCCAAAAATAATGGAAACTTACTTAGGGTGCCGTATCCATATGGCAAAAAAGGAACCCTTATGGATTCGTCATGTCTGTCTGTCCGTGTGTACAACCACTTTTTACCGAAACTATAAGAACTATACTGTTGAAACTTGGTACTGAGGTTCCGAACATAATTGTTTTCTTAACTGAATAGTTTGAGACACTACCAAAGTGGTAAAATTTGTGCTGTAACTTCTAAAATAAGAGAATGATAAAACTAAAAAAAATATATAATGTACATTACCATGCAAACTTTTACCGAAAATTTGTTTGGACGAGATCTAGTAAATAGTTTTTTTTAATACGTCATAAATCGTAAACTGCAATTTACCTTTCATACAGTCAACTCAAATATACCATTAAATTTAATTTCATTAACATAAACCTTATGCATAAACCTTGAACCATTATTTTCTAACCCTAACAAGAACTTTTTTATTATGTTACTTGCTGCTACGGAACCCTTCATGGGCGAGTCCGACTCGCACTTGGCCGCTTTTTTTATTTCTTTTGTCAATCACTCGAAAAATGGACCAAAATAAACCATCAAACTTTGGGAGACCCCTCTCCTGACGTCACTTTTATGTAAAAATTTAGCAAGTAGTGACGTCATACGACATTTCGAATCAATATATCACTGGAAGGTATTGATTATGTGAAAAAAGAAAAAATACGTTTCCATATTTTTTTGATAATCTAGCTGATAGATGAAGAAAAAAAGTAAGTCATCATCCCTATTAGGAAGGTATTTGGTTGTCGAATCTATTCGTAATTGTGTATGACTCCATAGGATAAAAATCCTTGCTTGCCATATGTGTCGCATTGTAGGCCATTTTGTATCCCCACAAGCTCATAGCTTCCTTACACGCCGTCTGAAAGGAAATTAATCTTATGTATAAGCACTGTCAGTAGGGGAGCCCAAGCGGGGAATTTGGTATTTAATCGAACGCGGCTGAATAACATAAGGGGGGCAACCTGGCATCTTGTGAAGTACTTCTACCACACCCTGAGCCTTTTACGTGAACTCTCCAGTAGTTCCTATTCAAAACACTGACGATTTGGACCCGACCAAAAGTCATTGGCGTTTGTTCAAATATTTCCTTTGGTTGTCCTAGATGTTCAACCCCATATAACTTAGGTATGGTGGGAGTATTTCAGAAGGGACAAGGTTGCCTCCCTTATGTTATTCTGTCACACTCGAGTAAATCCCAAATTCCCCGCTTGCCCAATTATATACTATAATTTATTACCTGAATTGAGTATTAAGGGGGCCCTCCCTTACTACTCAATTCAGATAATAAACTGGAATGGTGGTATTCGAATTGGACGTCAACTTATGCCGCCCGTGACTTGATCAGCGGTAGCTTTGGTTTTTTGGGAATCCCACAGGAACCAAACATTTCTCTGGGATAAAAAGTATTCTTTGTCGCAATCCAGGTTAAAAACTATATGCGTACCAAATTTCATCCAAATCCGTGCAGTAGTTTTATCGCGTGATTGAGTAACAAACAAACAAACTTTCACATTTATAATGTAAAGTAGAATCTACGATTCACCGATGACACGACCATAATAGGTGCCAACGAACAATAACTTGCTCACCAGCTAAGTACCCAAGGTTCAAGACCTTACCGTGGAATATGGAATTCGTATAAACCGCGACAAAACGGAAGTACTGAATGCTTGTTAATAGAGCTAATAAGTTGTCCAGTTTTCGCCCAGCTACTTCTCTATCATTCTTCTTTGTCAAAAGAAAGTAGACACAGAAACGCAAAGTAAACTACGTGTCTGTCTATATTGAATAATTATTTAATAAGCAACAATGAGAAGAAAACGTGGATTTAATATCCTCTCACACTCACAGCTAAATTTGCGTTGGAAAATCAAAGAGAGAGAAAAAAAATGTATGAATTTTCTGTAAGAAACACGTAATAAATATAATTACATCAAACGATGTTCATTCATCATTCAAAACATGTGTTAAGCGTAGTAAGCTACAAGTGTGTGATAGAAATGATGAAAGAAACTATTTTTTCACATCACTGCAAAAAGTAACCATTGATCTTCTTCCGTTAAATTGTCAATATCGGGTATATAGAAAAACGCACATAAAAACCTGCTTTTTATAAATGCTTTTCATAAAAACGAACAAGAGTTAATTTGCTTTTTTAGTCTAAGTGGTAAACTATCTTTCCTGCAAGGCAGATGAGGTAAAAAAACTGCCTTATTGTCAATGTACCTAAGTACCTACTTACTTAGGTACAAGTTCATGGTGGCTTCTTCTTCTATGGAAAAACTAATGACATTGATTCTTTAAAAATCTGTTCTATTGATGATGTGATGTTGAATGAGAATTATTACTAGGTCAGCAAAACAATTCCACAGTATAATGATCTAATAAGCTTTTTAATTAATAAATACTTTATAAATCATCGAAATCGGTTCATTCGTTGCGATTTTATAACTAATTTTGTGATAGTCAATATTCACCAGCGGCCGAAACGTGGGATGTCACAGAACTCGATCGTGGTTCACTCCGGTCGAACTTTAGTAGCGTATCTAAGCATGCTCGTGCCTGAGCGCTTGAGCTCTGTGACGTCACAGTCACCACGCGGCCAGCCTAAAATTCTTTAGCTCTATAAGCCTGCATTCTCAACTAAAATCATTGTTAAACTTTGTTCAGAAGTGAATAATACACAACTCAAGATTTCATTTTTTTAGGGTTCCGTAGTAAATAAGTTACCATTATATTTTCAATGTATCCGTCCGTATCGTAAATTAATGAATTTTTCACTTTACATCCAAGAGAATTTAGGGAAATGGCCAAGCCACATATTTTGACTAAAGTGTAGTTTGTGAAGTTAAGGCGTGTAGAGTTAGAAGCTTGGCTCTACATAAGATCTGATAACCTTTTGACCATGCAAGTCATGTGGTCTCCTCTTGGCAACATTTTACATGGAAATCTTTTGGCAGCATTATTATCATTCTATATTAGACAATGATATTATTAACCGACTTGAAAAAGGAGTAGGTTTTCAATTCGGTTGGTATGTTTTTATTTTCTTACGTATGAACATAGATTACTCTGACATTTCTGATCCGGTTTACGTAATTATTTTTGGTTCGATGCGGAGTAATTGCCATTTGGTCTCATAAAAATTTAATCCAATTTGGCCTAGTAGTTTTTATTTTATAAGAATTTTTGTTATCTTTGTAAATCCTTAAGTTATCGGTGTACATTGTATACGAGATTACATATCCGATTTGAGGATTCCTTTTTTGTTTGATGGGAGATACCTTCTTGCAGTTTGGTCCCATAAAAATGTTTAGTTTGACCTAGACGTTTTTATTTTATAAGCATTTTTGTTTATTGTTACTGTTACTTAAACGATGTAATTTTCACTGAAATGGATGAATTAAACATTTTTAAACAAAAAATAATACCGACATCAAAATCGAAAATGAAACTCAAAAGTAAAAAATATCATGTGGTTCATGATTTGGAAGTCGGGTGGGAGATTGGAATAGACTTTCCATTTCTAATCGTACCCACGTATTTCAATCTTGATTGAACCGTAGTTTCCACGAATATCAATATTAGTTAGCAGAAACTATGGGTTTCTAAATGTCAAATGCCAACAGCATTTGACATTTGAAAATGATCAAAACAAAAACATTAAATGTCTTCCAAAAAAAATATCGGGATTTTGAATTTGTAATGATACAAATAGCTTATATTGCTGAGCTTACCGATCAAGTTAGTAAATTTCGATGTATTAGAACGATCTTGTTCTACTCAGTGGATAAAGGCAATAAATATTAAACTGGTCGCAGTTATGCAAAGTGAATTGATGAATATGTAGATTTTATGAATTCACTTCAAACTCAAATCATTCAAAACATGTGTTAAAGCAGGCGTACTATCGTAGCGACCTTGTGACGTCAGTTTTGCGAATAAACTTTGGGTGGTAGCGACTGCGGCAGATGCCAGTAAACCAGGATACTAATCGAAGCGTATACTAATGTCGCATTTCAAAATAAAACCTAGAAACATGTTTATAATGAAATCGATAGCTTAGGCGCAAATCAACTATTATTTTTGAAATGCCTAGAGTAAGGTAATGGCACCAAAGACTGACGAGAACCAAGTGATCCCTTTTTTTCTATGATCAACGAAAGCAGGAGTGGGTGACCAGTCGCTGACTGAGTATGATGATAACACCGAGCTATAGATACTTGGTGTCACCGTGTTATGTGATCGCTTGTCTACTCTGGTTTTCATTGATCAAGGAAGGGAATGTCGGTCATTGGTGGTCTACCTATGTGTTTTATATCTATATGTATAATCCCTTATATATGCTTACCTGTACTTCATCCACGTAGTCAAAATACAGACTTGTCCTCCATTTGAATGGGATATCGCGGGATATTCTGAAAGTAGAGTCGAAGCCAGCCACGTTGACGCTGGTGTGCGTGCGCAAGAACTCTTTGACGGATTTTGTGACGTCCAGTCTCAAGAATTTCAGGACTTCATATGCGGTTTTACTAGGATCAAGCGCCAGCTCTTCATATCTGAGAGTCCTGTAAAGTGTATTTTTTACAAAATTAACCTTAAGAGACCTTAAAAGCCCTTTTACAAAATTGCGCCGCTGCCGTACTGATCGGCGCTAGATAGATTTGCACTAGTATATATTGCATTTTACGGGTGATGTTTCGAGTCTTATGAAATAATTATTAATGAACTAATTTTAAAAAATATATAATATTTCAGTAGTTCAATGATGGTAGATTAGTTTTATGAAAGTAATTCTATTTAATTCAATATCAAAATACATAATTTTTTGGGAAAACTCACGGAGCTTAGATGTTTTTCTGATAATTAACGAGATGGAAATCAAAATTCTAATACATTATATTACAACAAAACATATTTCTGATGTCATAGTAATTAATTTAATCTAATTTATTGAACATTATTGAAAGATTGAGGCGTTTGAAGTTGTGCATATTATCGTTTTTTCCGTAAACTAGCTGCAGTAGAACGATCAGTACAAAAAAAGGAAAATAGTATTTGCATATATAGAATATATATATATATATAGAATATATATATATAAATATTCTATATAAACTTACAATAGGAAGAATAAATCTACTGTTTACTTCTATTGGAAAAAGTCAAAATCTTTTCTAAAGGGGTAAGCGAGGCGCTCAAAAATTACGATTTTTTCCAAAAATGTGAAAGGGCTCTTAATGGCCGTGTCAAAGGATCATGAGGGGTTTTGTATGGACCCCGTTCCCACGCTACAACATACACTGAATGCGTGTGAATTTGTTCATTCGTACTCAAAAAGAAACAAAACACTTGTTTTAGTTGGGAAATCAATGAGGTTAAATTATAATTAATAAAAAAACTTTTCGGCAAAAATGTGTTTATTTTTGTACAAAAACATACACTTCTGGACACATCTATTGGCCCACCTTAGAGTTTAGGTTTCGATGGCCCCTACCGAAATATGATTGCTAGATTGAACAAAAACTGTTGATGCAGTTTAAACCTGATACATTTTACCATCTTTTTCGATCGTATTGTTTTAAATTTGAATTCAGAATACCATACGACATGGAGCTCCGCCTAACAAGTCGGATATGCGCCTTGTTAAAGGCAATTGATTTTTGAATAAAAAACATGTTTTATCAAATAAAGGTTTAATTTAATAACGCGTGTTGCCTACATGGGCATCTACCACAGCTCTCATACGATTAGGCATAGAGTTTATCAACCGCTCTATGAAATTTTGAGGGATCATCTCCCATTCCTCTTCTATGGCAGTTTTCAACTCCTGCATCGTCTGGGCAACTGGCTGACGAGCCCTAACACGTCTTTTTAGCTCGTCCCACATTTGCTCAATGGGGTTTATGTCTGGGCTTCTGGCTGGCCAGTCCATAACTGTGATGTTCACATCCCGAAGATATTCCCTGACGATGCCGGCCGCATGGGCTCTTGCATTATCATGCATAAAAAGGAAATTTTGGCCCACATAGTCCGCGTATGGTATCACGAGAGGTTCTAAGCACTCACGAATGTACCTTTCAGCATTTAATGTTGGCAGCCGTGGTCCTGTAACAACCTCAAGTTGAGTTTTGCCGCTCGCGGATATACCGCCCCAAACAGTCCATGAGCCACCGCCATAAGCAACCCTCTCTTCAAAGCAGCATTGTGCGAAACGCTCTCCCTTACGTCGGTAGACCTTCTTCCTTCCATCATTGCCATGTAACACAATTTTAGACTCATCAGAAAAGAGTACACGGCTCCAATCTTGCTGTGTCCAATTTAAATGACTGCGTGCGAAATGAAGGCGCGCTGTTCGGTGGGCTCGCGTTAGTTTGGGCCCATTAGCTGACTTGTGTGGTACCGCGTTCTTTTAACCTTCTCCGAACAGTTCGAGCGCTCACAGATACTCCGTGGAAGTCGCGAATTTGTTTTTGTATCTCAATGGAGGTAAGGTGACGATTTCTCAAGCTGGTCGTCACGATGAATCGATCCTGCCTTTCAGTTGTGACCCGAGATCGTGGCCTTCCTTGGCGACGAACAAAGCCGCCAGTCTCTAGGTATCTCCGATAAACATTTCGGACCGCAGATCGACTTAAATTAAGTTGAGCACTCACGTTTTCTCTCACTGTATTCGAAATTCAAAAAAAGACTATTGAATGAAATTGTGAATATGCCAGGTTCAAAACTGCATAAAAAACTTTTTGCTCGACCTAATATAAAATTTTAGCTAGAACCAAACGAAACTGAAAATACAAGGTGGGCCAATAGATGTGTCCAGAAGTGTATTTTCCTTAAAAAAATGGTCACGAACTGAATAATTATTGACTTACAAATACAATGACATACTTAATATTCGTTTTTAATTGACTTCAAAAAGGAGGAGGTTCTCAATTCGTCATTACATGTTTTTAATTGCGTTTGCGTAAAATAAAAACTTTTATTACAAAAATAAAACCAACCTCATAAAAACAAAATCAGTAAAAAGATGAAATAATGCATATTCTTTATTTATATCATTATTTAAATCAATATAATATTTTTAAGTCGATGCTATGCCTATTGATAGCTGATCTGAGTAGCCATTAACTGCTCTGGTTGGCTTGGATTTGCCTTTGGATTTTTTTGAAAGTCGTGAACTGCGCATCCGATTTGAATATTTTTTTTTTGTCGGAACGTACATTTATGGAGGAAGGTTATAAGCTATATAACATAAAGATACAACCAAAAGAGCGGAACAACAATGAAAAATTTTGCAAATACGGGAATAAATATTCCATTTGAGAGCTTCCCTAGCATGCGCTGCCTAAACGGTAAAGTTGTAAACAAAAATCATGTACGACGGAATTATTCTCATTTAAAAGTTCTATAAAAAAGTCCATGACAGCATATTATGTCTATGTTTTAAAGGTGACCGACTGTAACCTATTTTCTCAAATGAATGCGGGTAAAACTGCAGGGCACCTCTTGCATTTATAAAACCTAAACCCCATAAAATAAAGTATGTCGCCATAGTAAGAAATTATCTATCCTACTAGACGCTTTGAATGATACTTGTTTCAAATATTAGCGCTGCAGCAGCCTTGGTGTTGCTGTAGTATTAAGCTGAGGCAGGGACCTACTTGTTGTGTTCTGTTTTTGTAAATATATGTGTTAAGATCAATAAAATTTATTTCTTTTTCTTTCAAATCTGTTGGGGTCTCACGTTTCTTCCCATTGTCGTCTCCTCTAGTATTTCTATTAGGCTACAAGGCCGCCCGGATAGAAGTTGCGGGTTCGAATCACGTCTAAAACCAAGGATTTTTCTAGTAAAAATGTCTTTAGATTTAAACAAACAATAAAATCAGTGTCAGTGTCATCAGTGCAGTGAAATGTTAAAAAAAAATAACAACAATACTTGCATTATTCTGTTGGGGTAGTCTTGCATCAACCTGCTCGCGGCCACGTGGTCGCTGACCATATCGGCACACACCAGCTCTGGCCACCAGCAGTCCGGGGCAGGCTGGCAGAACGACCTGTGCTGCCTGGACTGCATCACGCCACGGGGATCACGGACTAACAATATCACTTTCAGATTGAGCCTGGAATGAAATTTAATATTAAATGAGTGGCAAATAAGTTTTAGGTTCGCCTGGTGATCAGGGGCTACCACAGCGATATAAAAAATATCACTCGTGCCGTCGCCTACCCTGATAATCCCTTACCCCGTGGAGCCCTGGAACTTTACTCAACAACAGAAACACAACACCACCAAAAGGTAGTGTTACTTTACTGTGGTCTTGGTCTATGGTGGAGGTTACTGACCCAGACGGGCGCTCCAATTTGAGCAAAAAAGTCGCTTTGCTCTACTAGGTGAATGAAAAAATATAATCGCTTATAGAAAAAATCGATTAATGATCGTTTTTTTATAATGATTCAAGTAATTATCAGTGATTTTTCATCTGTAACCCCCCGACATTAACTTTGGTTTCCTGGCCCGGAGCCCGGAACGCGAACTACAAATGAATAGACTTGATCTAATCTTTAGATTCTGCTTAAAGTTCACAACGTTTAATTAGTTGAACTTAAAGAAAAATAAATTGCCTTAAAAGCTTAAAAGCTGTTTAAGCTAATAAGCTTAAACAGCTTTCTTATAAGGAAACGTCACATTAAGTAAATATACTTAATGTGACGTTTCCTTATAAGAAATAGCTTTGCTTTACGTCATTGAAGCATTAAAAACTTATAAGCCTTTAAAGCATTGTTAAGTTTTTTACATGTTGAAAAATTAACGTTTTTAATATGTTATCGTTGTTTTATATGATAATTATTTTTTGCAAAAATTGCACTCCGCTGTTTTAGTTACATTGTCTTTTTCAAAGAAGTTCAAAGTTTCGGTATTCCCGTTTCTCAACATATTGACAATATTTTATTTACATACAACACTATACACTAAATAAATTTAACTGTAATTTTCATCTATTTCAGTTTCAAACGTCACTGTCTATTAATATTTACAATTATTACACCAACATCATTTTAAGTCTTAATTTTGAATAGTTACTAAAACAAAAATTATTCCAATTTCCTCTGCGTTGCGTTGAGTGAGGGAATTTATTTCTATAATTTAATTTTGTCGATTTATGTGAAAAATATTCTCATTTGAACCTTTTATAATTTGATTGTTCTAAATAAAACTTTAATTTGTGTTGATTATATAAGAACTTACTTTTTGTGTTGTTTACTTTTAAGTACCTAATAAATCTATTTATTTAATAATTATGGCGTTTATTACGAAATTGATTGGAAAACTCGGAAAAAACAATTCATACAAAAATCGATTATTTTCTTAAGAATAATCATAATTGTTTTTTTTTGACAGTAAAAAAACCGATTATGACTTTTATTAAAATCGTTTTTTTTATGTACAATGTCACACATAACTCTACCTTTCTCAAAAGCAGTATGATTAAGAGGGGGGCGGGTAATGTCTTATCCATACAAACGTTCAAAACTGATTCCTGCTTAATTTTTAACACTAAAGAAATGATTTTCATTAATAAAATTTCTGATTCTTGCTATAAAAAGTATATCAACACTATAGAAGAGAATATTAAAACTAATCCTAAGCTATTTTGGACTTTTATTAAATCAAAAAAGAGAGGTAAAACTAGTTATCCATGTACAATCACTGACGGGATTGTATCTACGTCAAAAGGTGATGAAATTTGCAATTTGTTTGCTTGAAGCAAAGCAGTTTATAATTCACACAGGGATAAGAATAATGACAGTTTGAATTTCAAAAGTGATTATTGGCAATCCATCTCAAATTATAGTCAGGAACTAACAATACCTTTTTTTGACAAAGATAAAATCTTAAAAAGCCTCAAGTCTCTGGATCCGCATAAGGGGCCTGGACCAGATTAGGCAGGCATTAGTCCTTTTTTTATCATTAAGTGTGCTAATGAGCTTGTTACTCCAATATACTTACTCTACAACAAGTCACTTCAAACAGGGATATTTCCGGAAATATGGAAATCTGCTAAAGTTGTTCCAATTCATGAAGCTGATAGGGCAGAAATGGTTACTAACTATAGGCCTATTTCAATTTTATCGATCACTTTAATAAGTATGTCACTGACAACCAACATGGTTTTATGAAATCTAGATCTACCTCCACAAATCTCACATTGCTTACTGAGACTGTAGCGGAGGCGCTTGACGATGGAAAAGAAATTGATGTATAGTATACAGTTTTCGGTAAAGCATTTGATAGGGTTCCGCATCAGATTCTTTTATCGAAGCTGGCTGCTCATGGCATAACCGGTTCTCTGTATTCATGGATAAAATCCTATCTTCATTATCGTACATGTTTCGTGGTGGTTAATGGATACCAGTCATTATCATATATCATTGTATCAGGAGTACTGCAAGGTTCGCATTTAGGTCCGCCTTTCTTTAATGTATTCATTAATGATATTTCAAACTGCTTTTTGCACTCTATACCGCTTTTATATGCTGACGACTTAAAATTGCTCAAAACCTACCAGTCTGATGAAGATACAAAGCTGCTTCAAAGTGATGTCAATCGTATGGTTGAATGGTGCCGTATTAATCAAATGGAATTAAATATTAAAAAATGTTATCACATGAAATTTTGTCGAAAAATAAACTCCCTAAAATCCGACTACAATATCAACGAGCAGCCGGTTCAACAGACTGAGATTGTAAGGGATCTTGGTGTTACATTTGATAATAAATTGACTTTCATTCCACACATGAAAAATATAATTAAAAGAGCAAGCAGGATGTTAGGATTTCTAATTCGCAACACTAGAATCTTTAAAAAGAATCAGATGAAGATTCTTCTTTATAACTCTCTGGTGCGTAGTATTCTTGAGTATTGTAGTGTTGTGTGGAGGCCACATTTTGTTGTCCATTATTTAAGATTGGAACGTATACAAAAGCGGTTCGTCTCTTTCTTGGCAGGAATGGCATAGCATTAAAGACACGTTCTTATAATAAAAGGCTGCACTACTTCAAAATGACGTCATTGGAAAACCGGAGGAATGGGCTTGATCTCTCATTCCTTTCTAAAATGTTATATAATAAAGTAAATTGCCCGCAATTATTGCAAAAATTTAAACTTCGTGTTCCTAGAAAGATTCCCCGTACCCCCATAACACCACTGTGTCCTCCTTTTCGTAAAACAGTGCATGGCTCAAACTCCCCAATACCAAGGTTGTCATAGACACTTAACGGTTGTAGTGATGTAATTGATATTTTTATGGATTCACTTCCTAACCTCAAAAGAATATTGTCCCAAACATGGCATCAAACTAACTGATTAAGCTTGATAGTTATGTGAAACTGTATTGTAATTTATAATTAAAAAGAACAACGTTATAAATAAGGAAATAAATAATAATATTATTGTAATGAACTTAATGCCTATATTTGGCGTCTACTTTAATGCATGCGGTGTTTACCTTAATAGATTGTTTCACTAGAGTGCATAGTTAATCTTGTAAATAGTTATAAGAAATGTGTAAACAAACAAATAAAATAAATTTTACTCATTATATGCTCCTATGTCTTCCTTTTTTTGATAACAACTGTAAATTATCTAAGCCTGTAACTAATTCATAATCTCTCAGCCAGTGCTCTGTAAAACATAATATGCTTATATTCATTGTATTAAAAAAATAAACATAGTTCTAAGTCTTTACCAGAAAAGCCTTGTATATTTTGGTGAACAATATTTAGATTTCTACACTTTTCCTTAGTCACTTTACTGAAACATGGTACTTAATGTCAAATTTACTCTATACCTAATATTCTTCATTTGATAGACTCTTACTATACATTTGATAGACCTATATGGAAATGTATACATAATTTTAAATTCTAATTACATTTAAAGAACACAAAGAGTTATAGTAGGTAATAATGTCATTTTTGTTAACATTACCTCTATTACCAATTAAAATAATTAAACTTGTATTTTTGTCAAGTTCAAGAAATAATATTTTCTTAATTGATGGTTGCATTGTGACACCTGGCAAACAATAATTAATTGTACTTGTTACTTTCACCCAGCTGTTTTTGTAATAAGCAACCGAAATCTTTACCAAATTCGTTACATAACATTATATTCTTATGACAGTTTCTCTGCTTAAAAGAATTACAACTAGTTGTAATTATAGGTCTAGGTCTCCGAGTGAACAGATTTAGTAATCAAGGACTCACATACTGGATCAGTGTCATTTTATTCAATACTGCACTGTTCGATACCAAAGTCTGACATTTTACAGGTGTCTTCGTGAAGGGAGGTGTTAAATAGATACTTAAATGCCAGAATGTATTTTTCTATCTGTTTTTTTTTTGTAGTAACTGTGTACGTTCTTTGAGAAACTCAATATTTCTATAAGTATTTTTTTTTTCATTAATAAGTTTCTTAGATTTTAAAATATGCCTTCCGACTTTAACATTTATTTTTAATTTGTTCATACTAAGCTTAACAAGACCCTTCCCGCCAGAAGACTGAAATGAATTGCCAGAATTCAAATCATTTACACCGGGGCTAGTGTTACATTAAGAATGGATGGGCTGCTGGCACTGCATCAGAGGTCCTCCAGGTGATGTCAATAGAATCCTACAATATCCCCGATGACATAAATTATAGAGTATTTTAAAAAGTTAGGGTTCCGTATGAAAAAACGTAGGGTGTGAAAAAATACCAAATAATAATCTTATATCGCTTAAGCTGTGGAATTCATTTACAATACAGCAAATTGATATACTAAAGTTTTATAGAGGACACAAATATCTACAAGAAAGTCCGCGCTATCCTATTTTATGTCTAACTATTACAGTTATCTCACAACTAAAAAAAAATGGTTATAGCAAGTCAAACTTAAAATATGAGCATATGCTGTACCGGATTTTTATAGAACTTTTAAACGGGAACAATTCCGTCATACATTACATGATTTTTGTGTAACTTTAATCATTAACGCAGCGCACGCAACGGAATGTCACAAATGGAATATTTTTGCTCGTACATCAATACTCCACTCCTACTGGTCGTAGCGTAATATTATATAGCCTTAAAGCCTTCCTCAATAAATGTACTAACTAACACAAAACTATTTTTTCAAATCGGACCATTAGTTCCTGTGAATTGCGCGTTCAACCAAAAAAATGGTGCATTCGATACAACGGTACAACGGGTCCTAAACTATGCAAGCCACTATATACTATGCCACCATATAAAGGATTCCATACCAAGACACTCACAACAACAACAATGTACAAGATTCAAGACTAAGTCGAGCAAAAAACGTGGAAAAGTCACTGTGATTTATTTGGCAACCGCTTGATTTTTTTATTTCATATAATTTTTTTTGTCTTTATATCGACTTGATCGAAATAAACACTATGAAAATGTCAACTGACTAACCTGTTATTATGAGATAACGTAATTAAGAGACGTTACTATCAACGGACAGTAAACGAGAGGAAAATTTTTACTAGGAAAAATTTTCAACTCGGCCAAGGTGTCAGGATGGCTTATCTTGACCGAAATGAATTAAAAAAAACAAAATCTCAAAAGGACAATGGGCAAAAAACACACAGTCCGCCAACACTGTAATTACTATGAATCGAAAGATCTATGAAAAATGTGCCTTTTCTATTATGACACCATGGGCATATATAAGTAGCTACATCAATTCATTTAATGGTACCTTAATTTTATATTTTTAGTAACCATAAAATTTTTGACGACCTCCGTTGCCGAGTGGTTTGTACGCCGGGTTTCATTATGTCGCCGACTCGAGAGGTCCCGGGTTCGAATCCCAGTGGGGGCAGATGTTTGAGTGATGAATACGAGCATTTGTACTCCAGTCATGGATGTTTAATATGTATTTTCTATATAAATATACTTATATATGTACAGTATATGTATTCTATCCGTTACCTTAGTATACCATAACACAAGCCTTACAGTGGTTACTTTGGGGCTAGGCTAATTGGTGTGTGTTGGAAATATTTATTTATTTAATTTGCTATATCGTACTATGCAACCAGATATACGATAAAGCCTGCCGACTATCCTGCGCTTGCATTTACTAAGATTCCTCAAAACGTTTTACGGGGTAGGGGTACGGGGGTTGTTGATTTTGCGCTCTATGTCACTTGATTGATTTTAAACTAAGACACTTTGGACATTTGAACACGATTATCGGTTTTGTGAATTAGTATGGATTGGAACTGGAATTATGTTTCTCCGAGGCGTGGACAAGTTTGTGTGATTTTTGGTCGCTCCGTTTTACGTAGAAGAAAATTTTCTATAACGAAAAGACGGTTCGATAAAACCCAACCCAAGCGGGGATTTTTGGATTTACTCCAGCGCGGCAGAATAATTTGTGAAGTACTCTCATAATATCTGAGCCCTCTATGTAGTAGGGTCGAACTAACTAAATAAATTTTCCTCGTCCTCCTCCTCGTTTTGTTTGTTCGTTATAGTACTCCTACCTTTTTATGTTAAAATAACTAAAGATGACGAACTTTGGCACATGTGATCATGACTTTACCTTACCTTTCAAACAAATGTAGTTCAAACCGTGGCGGACGTGGATGCAGCTTCCATACTTTTTTGCCCAATGTCGTTTATAATCATTTATACAGTCTAAGCTCTAACATGGCTCTTAGGAAAGTTAAGTCTATGCCATCGCTTCGTAAATCTACGACGGGAGACCAAGCACTGAGAAGAACCGGCAAAATTAAAAAAAAAACAATGAAACAGTTTATCATCCTTATCATCAGCTTATTAATGTCTCCACTGCTGTGGTACAGGCCTTACCTATTGATAGAAAGGGAGATTGGGTCATGACCATAAAGTTGATACGCTAATATATTAAGTTTATGGTCATGACATGACATGAGACGGCCCACTACGTATGTATGCCCAGTACAGATTAGGGGATGCGTTGCCTTCGGAAGAAGCTCAAGATAACATTTTTTGGCCTGTGTCTAGCTATTTTTATATAAATCAATGAGCCAAGACTCCTATTCAAAAGACCAACTTGGACGTCTTGGACGTGACCAAAAGTCATGACCGTTTGTTGAAAGTTTTTTTTTTGCTATCCTAGACGATTAGCCCTACATAGAGGGCTCAGGTTGTGGCGTGTCTGTCTGTCGCCCAATTCTTAATTATAAGGTAGTTTTAAGTTCTAAAGTGCAAACCTATTTTTAGCACTTAACTTTTCAAAATTCTATGTTTATGGTACTTTCTCAGTATCTGTTTATTCGCTGCTTCACGGCGATTCTTTTTGTGTATCTATTCATTACATCTCTTATACTTTTTTAAACATTGCCATATCCAATATTTACTTTTATTTTGGTATTGTTAAAATTGATACTTACTCTTTATCGTCCAACAATTGCTTAATCAATTTCAATCTGACTCGAACCACTTTCATGCTTTGGAAAGGGAATAGCTTGCAAATCTTCGACGTGAATTCAGGATCGAAACATAATTCCTTCTTTGTCTTACAATGTTCCCACAATTTTGACGTATGGCTGACGGGAAATTCATGTTTTTTTCCAAAATCAAAATATTCATCCAATCCTTCATAATCGCATTTCATTAGTTTCTCCATGTATTTTAAAGCTTTAAATGAATCCGGTGGACCCCTAATTTGCTTGATTCCATACCAAAAGAAGGGCTCATAATGATAATAATTTCCGGGCATGGAATCTAAAAGTTCACCAAAGAAAGTTGATCCTGATCGCCATGTAGTCATAACTAGACTTCTTAACGGAGTTCCACCAAATTCCATTAGTAAATCTTCTAAATCACTAACACCAGAATTAATGAAACTGTAATCTGCTAATTCAGACTTAATTTTAGTACGGGTTTTATTTAACATTGTCTCTATATCAAAGTTATCATGTGTCCGTTTAAGTTTCACTTGAACATTTTCACTGTCTTCCATTTTATTCTTAGAAGATGTATGGAAACTTATATCATTTGTATATTTACTTCCAAGAAGCACGAAAATACAACCAAAACCGAATGCAAAGCATATAAAATTGAAATTCAACCTTCGAAACATTTGGCTATTAAATGAATGTTTACCAATTTATGAAAAAAAAACAGTGTTGTTATGACATAATATTATAAGTAATAAGGTACTTCTTGCACTAGCGAAGAACACGCACTTTTCTTTCTACACGCTAGCTAGCGACACCAGTTGCTTTATTATTTTTTCATAAAATGTTCGTAATGATCTTGTTTCGTTTAAACAGACTTTACTCCGATAAAATTTAAAACGCGTAACAAATTGAATCTCGTGATACAATTCAACCGACACGGAACGTGCGCGGCTCTATTCTGCGATCAGTAGTAGTGCGACAAGATAATTTAAGATACTTTAGTGTAGGCTTTAGTATCTGTCTAAAAAATTTATTCATATAAACTAATATTTATTATAAAGAGGTGAAGTTTGTAAGATTGTTGACGACCTCCGTGGCCGAGTGGTTTGATCACCGGGTTTCAAGGTGTTCTAATTCGAGAGGTTCTGGGTTCGAAACCCGGTGGGGGCAGAGGCCCGCCCTCCCTTCGCTTCGGTGCAGAGCTGTAGTGTAGACTATATTTTTTGTTTAAAGGCTTGTATTATGACTTTCAATGACATAATGACGTGTGACACAATGACACAATAACTTTCTTTATAATCATTATAAACCTTCCATTCCAAGCCCGCCCTCGCTTCGCTTCGGTGCGGAGCTGTAGTGTAGACTATATTTTTTGTTTAAAGGCTTGTATTATGATTTTCAATGACATAATGACGTGTGACACAATGACATACTAACTTTCTTTATAATCATTATAAACCTTCCATTCCAAGTAAAAACTTAGTTTCGTAGTTTAGGACCCGTTGTACTAAAAGCACCATTGCTCTGCTGTTCCGATTTGAAAAAATATTTTTGTATTGGATAGTTCATTTATCGAGGTAGGCTATATAGGCTATAACATCAGGCTACGACCAGTAGCAGCGAGGCATCGATGAATAATGTTGCAAAAACGGGTAAAAATAATCCATTTGTGAGATTCCGTTGCGTGCTCTGGGTAAACAGTTAAAGTTACACAAAAGTCATATATCAAACAGAATTATTTCCCTTAAAAAGTTCTGTAAAAAACTCCGAGACATCATATGGCCATATTTTAAGTTTGACTCACTATAACGTTTTTCTTCAAATTAGCGTGCGTGAAACCGCAGGAGACCTCTAGTTGTGACATAACTGTGATAGTTAGTTATAGGGTATAGCCGCCTTTTATATACCACTTTGCTCTAATGTCAATGACTTCCGCAGCGTACGCGATATAAGGTTATTTTTTGGTTTTAATACGGAACCCACTACCTTTTTAAAAAATGTACTTGAAATAGCCAGAACGACAATTTCATAGGGAAAGACATAATCAAAGGCAGAAACCTATTATTAGGTTGTTAAAAAAATGGCGGTTTTTAACCTTAATTTTGAATGTGTTAATTTTAAGTACAACCAAACTTAATTAGTCAAAATAAGAACCATTTGATTCAATACATCTTGACCAACAAGATACAAGCCTACTTATGCCAATTTTGTAAAACGGAGTTCTGAAAATGATGAAATCATTGAAGGCAGTTTTGGGGGTAGTTTTTTTAAACATTTATCCTTTAAAAAGTTGATCAAATATTAAATTAAAGAAGTGGTGGTCAGTGGGTAAAAGTCCTGGCGAGTATGGTGGGTGCGACAGAATTTCGTATCCCGACTAGTTAATTTTTACAACGACCAACGGCGGCTTCGTGTTGTCGTGAAGCAAAATTGGTCCTTTTCATTAACTAATGCTGGATGCAGTAGCGAGTTTTCAGTGCATTTCGTCTATTTAGTGATAGTATACCTCTGCCGTAATGGTTTCACACAGATTCAAGCTCTGATAAATGAGGCCTAACGCAGACCACCAAACAATCAACATCACCTCCTTTTGGGGTAATCTTTGCTTTGCTAATGTTGTGGTGCTTGGTCATGGTCCCACCATTCGGCTGACCGCTTTCAGTTGTCATTCAGTCCATTTTTCATCACACGTCAATAGACACACAATAACCGTTAGATAAAAGGATTACTATTGTAGGTACACGTACACAAAATGAGTGAAGACGCAACTTTAGATTAACGATTTTACTGACTTTCGTTTTTGTGAGTTCCAAACGAACCCAAGTACTTGTCTAGCTGTTTTACTTAACAATGAAGTTCTTTCTGATGGTTGGAAATGGATCGAATTGTAATACTTAAAGCTCCTGCAAGTTTTCGAACTGTTGTACGAAGATTTACTTCCACCAAAGCCCTGAAAAAGTCATTATAGAGGATTTTTTTTAAAACTGCCATTTATTTTTCAACAACCTAAATTGGAGTAGTTTTCGTTTTGGTTACCCGACACCAATACTTCAGGAACAAGATTGGGCATAGTTGTACGAAGGCAAACTATATCCATTATCCGTTTAAATTTTTTTTTTCTGTTTTTTTTTTTAAAGGGTTTGTCTAATAAAGACCATGTCACCCTTATCGTTCTAACCTTCTATCGTCGTCTTATACAGATTGATACTATTTTATACAAGACCTTACTTATTTTGGAAAAGGGACTAGACAGTATGCTGTTATATAAACCAACATCCATTACTGACAGCTCCGGGAATTGGTTAAAAAGGTGGTATCTTTCTGCTGCAACCCTCGTACATTCAGCCATCACATCCTCGATCCGATCACACTCAGTACAATTTGGAGAGTTCTCTTTTCTCATCAAATAACCGAAGCTATTTAAAGGTATGTGACCAGATCGGAGTCTGTGTGCCAGTACTATGGTATCCCTTCCCAAACCTGTATCCGTAAACCAGAGGCTATTGGGTAAAGTTGGTTGTATTGTTTTGTACCATATTGCTTTACTCAAGGATCGTTCATCAAAATGTTCTTTCCAAACGTCATTACACCACTGTTTTATATAATTCATTACTTCCATACCATACGGTAAACACAAAAAATCCACCCCTTCTATGCTTGCTTCCTTTGCTAAGGAGTCCACTTTTTCGTTTTGTAAGATACCGCAATGGGAAGGGATCCACTGTAATACCACTTTTTTGTTCTGTGTGTTCAGTTCACGGACAGACTGTATAATACTATATGCTATCGGTAGACTTCGTATAGACGAGGCACATCGAGCAATATGCTGTAGCGAACTCTTCGAATCGGAAAGTATGGCCACTTCTGAGCACGGGACAGTTGTCAGGTAGGATAAGGCTTCCGCTATTGCTATTAGTTCCGCGTGCATTATTGTTATCTCTTTCGAGAGTTTGAAGCCAATGTAGTTATTATTCTGCCCATCATAGAAAGCCGCGCCCACACCCTCCCTACCTTTCGAACCATCCGTGTATATTTTATACGCTTTACCATACTCATCTTCTATGAACTGATCACAGAGGTTTTTCAAATCTACTGTTCTATGAAACCGTTTAGGTCCTGTCATTATATCAATTTCAGTTTGTACTGTCAGTTCTAAATTTAAATTACTAATCCAAGTGTCAAAATTAAACATTTCTAATTGAGTGCTTTTGTAGATAGACATAAATTTAAATTTTTCGTGTACCTGAATTAGAAGCGGTTTTTTCTTATTTCTCCAAAATGCATTTTCTGTAAATGTATGTAATTTATCCAAACCTGTAATAAGATCGTTAACTGCCGTTGATTTACATTTTAACCAGTATTTTCCTGCTAAATATTTCCTTCTAATAAATAGTGGGGGTAGGTTCAGCTCACTTTCCATGACATGAACTGCTGTTGATTTTATAAAACCGCCTATAATTCCGTTTAAAATAAATCTCTCACTATTTGTGGAATTTAATTAAAGTAAGAGTAAGTTATCAATTCCAAATAAGTACGGAATTAGATAAATTAAAATGTTTGGAACGCCGAAGTTACTTAGTTTACAAGTGAGTTTAAGCCTTTTCAGGTTCCGTGCCTCAATTGGCAAAAACGGAACCCTTATAGGGTAGGGAAGGGTTAACCTTATAAAATTAAGAACGGTTGGAGCGCACGACTCCAGCATAAAAGATGGTGACAATTCTTCGACCCACTAAGGTTGGGCATTAACCTATTGAGAGCCCCTACCACCCTCATCAATTTAGAAGCCTGTCTGAGGAAATTCTTGAAGTACCGCCGATTGTCGAGGACGATTGTAGGCAGCGGCCTCCTTATGCGAGGACATCATCTCGATGGGCTTCCGCAGTGGGAGGGAACGGTAGCACAATCCTCTGGCCTTTCCCTCCCACCGCAGAAGAACAGGTAGGCGAAGGCGAGCGCGCATCCTGGCTGCGCCCGCTCAGTGACCTTACCTCAGTGAATAACTCGCTGCCCGGATTGACCGACGGATTCCGTGGCGGTAGCCCTCTCTTGTAGTTATGTCCTACATGGGAGGTTAACAACTCGGCAGTCCTTCCACAGCGGACGGAGAGCGGTACGGTGGGCAATAGGCCGCATACTTAGCTTACAGCCCGGGCCATCCTGCGCAAGTCTGCGGAATCACCAGAGGTACCCCGGGTGATCCCTGCCTTAGTCCCGACTAGGCCGGGAGGCTGTCAGGTGCGGAGACATTAAGTGAACTGCCTCAACGGAGATCCCATTTTCCGCATTAACAGATGAGGAGGGTATGCGCAGGGTTTTTGAAGTGAAAAATTCTTTAGCGGCGTTGTACACTTTTTTGTATGGGTAAAGTGTTAAACTCGCGTCAGGTTAAACACGTGGGCTGATCGCATCCTGACACACAATAAAATTGGAAAGATTGTTGACTTTCAATATAATGGACGAAACATAGTAATATTTTATTTTACTGTGTCATAATAATATGTCTCTATCTAGGACGTCCACGTAGCAGCCTTATTGCGAAGAAAATACATTTTTTTTACAATAGATTTCGCTAGGTGCGCTTAAATGTGATTCATGTAAGTTGATTTTTCTGGGAGATAAACTTTTTTAATGTAATATAAATTGTCATGTTTGTGTACGATAGCGCAATAAATAAATATTGTATTCTACCACATACACGATTTTGGTTCTCTATTATCGCGCCCATGAGCCTTGCAAGTTGCTTGGTGTGAGATACGTTGCCTCCGGGAGCCAGCGGGCTGAATAGGGAACACCAGCCCGTATATTAAATGTCTATTTTCTTCAAAATACTCGGTCGGCTAATTACCTACTTACAAATGAAGTACCTAATGGTCAATTCATACCAGCACAGAATCGAAGTGCAACTTATTGAATTCTAGAAACGTAGTACTTAACGTAACAAAGCAAATTAAAAATCAAAATTATCTCGGAAACCTATTGAACATATTCGTAATAGCTACGTTCAATTGTGCAAGATACAATACTATGAATAACAAGCAAATAAGTCATTATGTTAGCGTTCTAGATATGTATGTAGTCATGGAAAATTTAAGTTTTACTTAAATAACGTAAACTCTATAAGGCGTCGTCTCCATTGGCAACGATGACACGTAGACACGATGCGATCTCATTGTGGGATGAGTTCAAACAAAGATTTCTTCAAGTGTCTTATTACATCTCGTAAGCCATCGCAGGAAATTATTTTCATCACACGATGAGATCTTATCGAGTCATCCTACGATTGTTGCCAATTAGGACGACGCCTAAGGATGCATAATCAAACACGAATTCAATTTATTGTAACTTTATTAACTTCGATTTAAAAAATGATAATACAATTGCAATAATAACGCCAGCCGTGCTAGTCTACTGAATAAAAGTTCAACATCCTTATTCATTTGATCGTAACTCTTAATCTAGTAAGGCTACCCTTAAATCTACCACTTTCACTCTTTAAGTATGGGCCAAAATCCTCGGAATTCACGCAGCATGATGGTAATAAAGCAAATATTAAGTCAACAATCTTTCGAGTTTAGTATTAATTCCTGCGCTTTTACTAAAACCTCGTGTCATTATATTAAAGAAAGACAGGGACAAGAACAGTGGTTCTTAACCTTTAAGCAACGAGGGACCAATTGTAAAAAATTTCGTCTTACCACGGACCACTTCGGGTGCTTTCAGGAACCACAGGTTAAGAACCACTGGACTAGAAGAATACATGCAAGACCTCATCAAATTTAAGCTCAGCAATCCATGACTATAATCACTGCACCCGATGAATTTATTAGGCCTTGGGTAACACCTTGGGGGCTTGTTAAACAATAAATATAGTTTCAGTTTCGTAATTCGCTTTGCGTCAACAAAGTTAATTAAGGTCAATCTTAACACCTTGCCAATGTAGGTACTTATACTAAATGGTAAGAGGAAATATAACGAGCACGCTACATTTTAAACAAAAAAAAGAACTAGCCATTAAATTTGGAATATATTATCCATTTCCACAAGTGAGTTTTGTTTCATAACTTTAAATAAAGTATTGTCTGTATGGTTTGAAATTTTGATACTTATTAACTATCTAAACTGTGCAGATGTTGTAAACTTTAAATTTATAGTATTTTTTTATGTTTAGTGCATCATCCGTATCGTCTATGTTGTCTCATAAAGATCATTACAAAAATGTCTTTAGTAGCAACACGCTGCGTAAAATCCGGAAAGACCTATTATTGCTTTGCACTCTTTAAGCCGTATAATGTCAAATTCAATAAGCAGAATTTAAAAGTACCTACAATAATAAATAAACAATTTCGTTATATAACTTAATGGATTAGGTTTACTATTGGATAAAAAATTATAACAATAATAATCACCACTACCCATAATATAAAATAAAAGTCAATATGATAATAATCATTCTCGAATAACATTTTATCATAATACAACGTATATAAATAAAAACGTACACAAACCAAGTTTTTCACCTTTGCCCGAAAAAGTATTTTTAAGTATTAAATCATGCACGAATAAATACCTTAATAATAATATCTTATGATATGCTAATGATATGATAAAAAATCTACAACTGGGTCCAGCCAGCCACCAGAGCTTCATTATAAATAAATAATTATGTTTGTATAATATGACTAACATGCAATTTAATTATAAATCTTACATATATATCACTACCTATATTTCGTTAAGGCATAACTGAATTTATTAAATATATTGTCAGATCTATCAGGAAGCATGGTTCTTAATTAGTAATTGATGGTATTTATTGACATTCATATGTAAGCTTTTTACCATTATTGTTTAGTCGATATTACATAATTGTAATTGATATTATGACGAAACCCAATTAAAGGTAAGGCACCAGAGTTGACAGTACATTAGAGTACCAATACGTCAGTTGCTATTTTTTGAGAGACGGCGGATGCGCAAGTAAATTGTACATGCTAATACCCATCTGGCTACCATATCTTTGATTGACATTCGTCTGAACTAAGCTTAGTGTTTATGGTTATATTTTCTTATAGTTACAGTTAGTATACCGCTTTGCTCACAATCTGCAACGAAAGTAATAGAAGGGGAGCATCAGTGAGGATTTTGCAATTTACTCGAGCGCGGCTCAATAAAATAAGGGGGGTAACCTTGTACCTTGTGAAGTACTTTCACCAGACCAGAGCCCTTTATATAGGGTCAAGGGTCTAGGGCAAAATAAAAATAAACAATAATCGGCTTGACTGTGACTTGACTTTTGGTCGCGGCCAAATTTTCCGTCGCCGTACTCCTTTAAATAGGAGCTACAACGTAAACCCCAAAATCCCCGCTGGGGCTCCCCCACTATGACCAGTAACAATTGTTACATAATCATCAAAATACCACTACATAATATGTATTTGTATTAATGGATTTTAGTAAATATATTAAAATTAAATATAATCATTTGTTTGGTTGATTACATTAAATATTACTAGTATTACAACTTATATTACAAGAGAGACGAAATTAAAATTATATATCGAGTATTATTTTGTACAGAATTGAATCTATGTATTACATTTTTATTATTAGCGGGTATAACAATTCCATAACAATTCTATAGGCTGAGCCAATGCTATTATTAGCATTTTTAAAATACCTGTTATCATTTACTTATTGGTATATAATTATTAGGCATCTATGTCATCGTTGGTGATGGAGAAACTTTATTTTAGCTTGTCTTAGAAAACAAAATAAAGCCCTAGGTTTTTCACTAGAATACTGAAGTTGTTTAAATATATTTTTTTCATAATCTCACGAATATTAAATTCCTAAACTCTCCAAAATGGTAAGATTCAGTGTATCGTTGTATACCTATAATAATAATAATTTAAAAAAATTAAATAGTAATAAATAATGAGAGTATTGTTTTTTGCTAATATCTATTTTATGCTAAAGAATAAATTTTATTTGTAATTCACTAAATGCAGCATAATTAATAAACGCCACGGTAATAAATTCCCTGACCTCAGAGGGTAATTTGAGGATTACTTGATAACGAAACTTAAAGCTGATGGCAATTTCGATATATAAGATTTCATCGTCGTTCATACCAAGACGTAATGTACTCCGCACCTATGTAAACTAGAAAAAATAAGTTGCGAGCTTAGGTAGCTAATTTCCAAATTGTAAAGAAAATAAAAACATCATAAATTATATTATCGTTTCTGACATCAATTTTATCTATTTAATCATGTTTCATACATAGTGAAATTAAAGCTGACAGAAGTCAGGATAGCGGGAGTTTTTAAAACGATAATTAATAAAATGTAAAAAATACTACACCTACTATATAATTCCATCTCATCATCTTTTCAAAAAATATTTTATGTTTAATAGAGTACTAGCTGTCAAAGCGAACTTCGTACCGCCATAAAATAGGGGTTGGTGGTAGAAGGGTGGAAATTTAGGGTTGTATGTATTTTTGTATGATGTATCAAAAAAAAATTTTGTCCTTAAAAAAAATTAAGGGTGGACACTTTGTCCGATTCTCAGACCTACTGAATATGCATATAAAATTTCACGAAAAGCGGTCGAGCCGTTTCGGAGTAGTTCAATTACGCACACCGTAACACGAGAATTTTATATATTAGATTTGTAAATGTAAGAAAAAGTTGGCAGACATTATAACTCTGATTTTGTTTGTACCGTCTAAATTTTGGAGCATCTATATTTCTCTCTTTCTCTTCGTAGCCTTCATTCCCGGTTTAAAAACACCTATTCTTTCTAGCTTTCTTTTCCATGCCAATAAATATAATATACAGAAATAATATAAGTGAGTGTGTATTTGTACCCCCTTGCAGCTGTACTCAGGTAGTTAAATACGTCTGCCTTCGATTTTTTCTGCCTTTTCATTGTTATGCCTTTCATAACTAATAGAAATAGTAGACTTACAAGGTAGAAACGATCATTTTTTTTCAACAATACAGATTATTAATGCTACATCATCATAGTGGAGAATTAATTCTTTTATCTCTTTGAAAGAATTATATGATTACTAGCTGACTCGGCGAACTTCGTACCGCCCAAAAGTAATAATTAGCAATAAATTAAAATTGCGACTATAATTTGAGATTTAAACTATCCTATCTCTCAAGTTGGATCGAACTGCACATGGTGTGCGAATTTTATTATAATCGGTTAAGTGGTTTAGGAGTCCATTGAGGACAAACATTGTGACACGAGATTTATATATATTAAGATAATTTCAATAATTATTCTTGTCTGTATACCGATGAAGTGATTTGTTTTTTATATAATTATTAGAATAAAAAATAATTAGGTACATTAAAACACAGCAGGAAAGACGTCTGCTACTAACATTTTTTTTTATATTAAATACAATGTATCATGATTTATGACTATTGATAATATAGTTTATGACACTTATTTTTATTATCAACTTTCGCAAGCTCTTATTTGATATTGCAGCAAGTAATTAATGGCAGAAATTGTTTAAAATGATTATTATACTTAGTACTCTAATATTATCAACCTCTGTCAGATGATGAAATCATATAAAAATTACTGCCACCAGCTCAGCCTTATTTTATGGGATTAAGTGATAAAAATGGTATTCCATTAGAGATGTACATAGTGGTTCTTTTATAAAACAACAAAGTAAAAAGTAGAATAGTTGCCTAAATTACCCTATTTAGTTGCCTTTTTAATTTTTTGTTTATCAGAAAGCTTACTTATTTATTGACACCTCTCTGTCACAATAGAATTCAAATCGTTTAAAAAAAACATATTTTTTTCTTTCAATACACCTGTACCGAACGGTAGAACAAGCTTTCCCTCTCGCAGGGGTAGTTCCGTTTTCTGTTATTCAACTTTTAGCCTGGGCGCACATGTACGGTTTCCTGATCAGGAATTCCGATTCGGAGACCCGAATGCACGTCCTGACCGTACATGTGCGCTCAGTCTTAACCTGATTTAAAAATATTAATATATTTTAAGTATTAATAAAAATTTAAGCACTAACTCATTCTTCAAAAACCCTTTCAATTCATGATACTGCTATTGCCAATAGATGGCTCATCTTACGTCGCGTCGTAATAAATTTACCGCGAAATCGTCTACATAAACAAGTTGATATATTTGCTCAAGTTTCATATTAACTGCAGACTTTTCATAAACTGACACCTTGCCTAGTTCATCATCTAATATTCGTAGGACTACGACAAAAATTAACACACATTTAATATTATCTCATCGCAATACTTTCACCTATAACTACCTTATAATCAAGTGCACTTAATGAATTCTCACTACTGAATAGTTCCATTCGTTATTTTTAGCCTCCTTATATTTATTGAATAATGTTTCCAATAAGCTCCCGTATATCTCATAACCACATCAATGATAACTTTTAAAGGACACACTTAAGCACAATTCTAGGGAAATCCAGAAGATGATATAACGATGACACGTTCAAAACACTCGCAATACGATTATAGATCGCGCCAAACTTTTAGGCCGCTCTGAAGTTGCTTCGCGCAGGTGTACAGGTAACGGCAAACTTCTTGTGCAACTTCATAGACAAATAAACTTGCGCAGTAGACGATTTAGTATATAAAATTGCTACTGCGCAGGCTTTCTTGTCGAGAAGTTTGCCAGGGTATATACAGTCGTATAAACAATCTCCGTCCCTCTATACTTGTCTTTTGTTACTGCGACGCGAATTGTGCTGTGTTCAGAGCGGACTTTAAGATTGGTTCGATCTGTACTGACTCTACGGTCAGGTGCAAATGGATACGCAGTCTGGATATGATTTTCATCAGACACTAGAACTAAATTCAGTATAGTACAGTCAAATGTCACATAAACTGGGATTACTTAATTATAGAATATTTTCCTACCTTAAAAAAATTTAAGCAAAACAAACTACAACTTGAATGTATGCATTAATGTATCGTCATGAACACATATTTGCGATGGACTCGTGAAATATTCTTTTAATTTGTGGTTCTTTTAAAGTTTTTATAGACTTAATTTTTTTAGATTTTTATCAAGATAATAAGGGGATTCTGTCAAATGTTATTATTATTAATTTTCATGAAGATGCTTCTCTTTTCGTGCATATGAATTAAACCAAATAAGCAAAAAATATAAAATCAAAATATTAGAAACAATTTTTTAAAATGATAATCATAAATCAATGGAATTGAATAAAAATCAGATCCATCCAATAATTAGGCATTGCCGATATTTTCTTAAATAGAAGTCCTACTGGACGGTAGCAGATCTTTTTTCTAGCAAGAGAGTCCTTGCCTTAATAATTGGTCACTTTTTTAATTATAATATTATAATAGCTAAACATAAAAAATAAATAAACTAAATTAACTAATGATGGATATCACAGTTCCTCTTCCTTTATAACTCATAAAAAAAATATGAAAAAAATCCATACAATCGTTATTGAAGATCTTTTCGAAATTACTCTGAGCAAGGAAACAGGAATTTTGTGACCAAAATATTAGAGAGCTCAAATCGATTTTGCCAAAACTATTCTATAAATGCCATAATTTAACTGATTTTTATTCCGAGAAACTTTATTTTTAACTTTAGGATAGTTATTTAATCGCAATTGAAGCAATTTTACATTGGAAATGCCTGCAATTATAAAATTTCCTGGCTAATTACTTTTCTTGGACGGACGTTACAAATAACATTGTCTGAAAATTTTAGGGATATAATTTCCACTACTAGATGTGTTGTATGATTCACGACCACTGCATATAGTTCTCTTATTATTATCTATATAAATTGGTGTAAGTATGATTTTGGTGTTACGTATTCATGTACCTACTATTTATTTATGATAAACCTTAATCCCCTTATTAATAAACAAGGAATAAGCTTAGACTAGTTACGCCGTATTTTGTTAATTGTCGCTCAAATTCCATTTGTCATTCAATAGACAGAGTAAAAACATGGAGTAACTAATCCAAGCGTAGTCTTCGTTTATCAATAAGGGGGTAAAAGTCATAATAACCTATACTTAACACAATTTTTGCGAATAGGTTTTCTTTTCCTATAACAAGTACAGTGTTCATAAACAATTTTACCTATCCAGTGTTCTCGTTAAATATTCGGCGCAAATATGGTTCCAGTTTGCATAGCAAACCTTATTTATTGTGCAATACAAACAATATCAAAACGAATAGTCTTTATCACTCGATTTAGCTCCCTTGTTAACACAATAGAATCTCTTTGACGGGTAATAAATAACATGAATGTTAATTCATTGAATAGCATCAATGACATTGACTGATGCTGTAACTACCTCTAAAATTATCGGTTTAGGCCGTTATTATATCTTCCGTTCGAAAAACGAGAACAATATCTTTCAGTGTATAATATGATTCCACGCTATTAAAAGCCAACATTACATTTATGTATATATATATCACCTTCATCCACGGATCCTACGTATACGTATGCATGTACGGCTAGCAATAAAAGGAGTTATTTTTTCGTAAGGAGAGTTAGTTACCTTCTAATTTATTATCAATACTATTTTACTTGGCAGTAGCAAACGCTCTCTCCATGACGTTTATAATGTTTTGCCCGTATTAACCTACTTCCTTGCCAACTCTACATAAAATTATATTGTCTAGTACAGTAGGACTCGCCGATATAATGCATCACTAAAACTATGATCGAGTGTCTACAATGGAAGCATCAACAATTCATCAATTCCGTGAGTGCTAAAATATATAAATTGACTAAGCTTAACAATTAAAATGCGTTACATTAAGGGAGTACCCACATCCGTATGTGCGCACTTCCAGCGACATTATGCTCCAATTCATAACTGTTTTCATTTATTCACTCATGTCGTATAACGATAAGAATTCGCGAAAAGCTAAACTTTAACCTGCTCACAGATATTACAAACTCTCTGAGGCACAGCGTAGGTAAAGAGCTGAACAATGCGTACATACGTATGTACCTACAACCTAACAAAGATCAAAATCGCTTGACATCCATCGAATAACTTTTAGTAGCATGTACTAAAGTTATGCTTGTCTCCAAACGATTTCGACCTTCAAGTCACAAATGGTCCATCTTTTACATTTTGATATAACGATACATACACCCATGGTGTATCACACAACCAGAGCTCACTAGCAAATCCTGATTTTTTTTTTCATTGGAAAGTGTCAAAGTGCAAAACGCTCAATAGTTTAAACTACAAAGAATGGAAGAGTTACAAGATTCGGATGACATTCAGTCTTTGAAGAACAGAGAGAACAATCCTTGAATTATTTAAAGCGCTTTTTGATATTTCTAACTCGACACAAATTTTGAGAATACCAATCTCTTAAAGATTATCCATTTGAACCAATTAATTTATAATAGACCAATTTTTTCATTGGTATGGGTATGTATTACGTTCGATATGATATTAACTAAAAAAGAAAAAAAATGTCTCTGGGTCCTGCGAAATATTGATATCATATATTTTGATATCATAGTTCAAAGTGTATAGCACCAACTACTTACTACAAATTGTATACAATAACATTAAAAACCAAAATTCCTTTGCCCTCACAGTAATAAACAATTTGTAACTTTTGAATCGAGTTAGAATTAGAGATAATCCCCTGATATATTGGGTTTAGTTCTTAAATTGTTTTCACAACAATTACTCGGGTATTTTTTATCTATAAATACTGTAATATTTTTAAGAGAATGTGTCAAGGAAATTGCGCTAGTTTTTGACACTTGTATAAGTGCCAAAAACTCACTAAGTTATTGGCAAATACATTGGCCATAAGTCTACCATGGTGATTTGCAAATATAAGAACCAAACTACCAGCCGATTCTCAAATTGTTATTGAAGGCGATTAAGTCAATAACTTCTCACTATTTAGGGCACTAAGTGACAATAACATTAGGTGCTTGTAAAACCAAAGATTTCAACAATATTTCTTTGGTGTGAAACTTTATAATTCACACACACAACCCTTACAGTACAAATAAACAAAATATAAGTTTGACATGTACCACAATTAACCTGTTTAAATTAAGATTAAGTATATGAATGCTCAATGAGAAGAACATTTTTCTATCATTTCATAATATCTATAGGCAATATTATCAACATAAGGTAGTGGTACCAATGACCGACAAGAACCAATTATCAACACTTCCCGTTGTGTTATTATTTTTATTGATCACAGAAAAAATGGCGATCATTGGTGCCACTACCTTAGTCATTTCACGATTATTATAAATGAGGAAATAATTTAAATAAAAATAATGTTAATTTAAAATGATGTGATAACTGATTAATACTTATTTGCCGAGCCCTCTTTTTTATACAACTCTCAGTCATCCACAATTTGTGATGATAGAAACCAAGTATTATGCAAGTATGTTAGTATCACCTGGAACAAAAAAAGACAATGACTGATTTGGTACCTTAGGCCGTATACAGAAAGAAAGCCAAAAGTCGATCAGCGCTTATCGGCGCTGATCATTACTACTTATAGGAAGCTGATTAAAGCAGAGCAAGCAAAATGTCGGACTCATTAGACGATGATTTGGTTTTGTTAGAAAATGTGTATTTAAAAATGCGAAAAAAAAGCTATACATCCTATAAATAGAGAAAGGAAACGTTTCGGAGAATACCATCAGTTATTTGTAAAAAAATTGAAATTTGATGATCAAAGATTTTATACATAAACAAGAATGACTCAACAAACATTTTATTACATTTTTGATTTAATGAAAAACCGTTTGATGAAAAATTGGTGTAATTGGCATAAACAACCAATCCTTCCAGAAGAATCACCATTCGGTAAGTACGAAACAAATAATTTTAGCGCTTAGTTAATAAAAGATAAAGTTATTAGTTTTATAAAAAAATTATAACTTAGATTGATTTAATCTAAGGATAATAATTCAAATACAAATCATTTATTATTCGGACAACATAGATCATAATGACCAGCTGTCCAGCGCGTGTCGGCATTTGTCGGCGCTTACCGGCTTTCGGCTTTCTTTCTGTATACGGCCTTAAATATTGTGCTTTGTTATTATACATATAATAAAACTAGTGGCCCGCCCTCGCTTCGCTTCGGTGTAGAGCTGTAGTTTAGATTATATTTTTGTTCTCAGGTTTCTATTAAACACAATGACTTTCTTTAAATACCTAATTACTAAAGACACGCGCCGCCGCCGGCCCCCCGGCCAGTACTGTCGGAACCGGTATGTTCCTGCATTTTAAATCTGTAATATCTTCGAAAATATTCATTTAAATTACATGCTGTAGAGGGTTATATTGATCAATATTAAACGCACAATGTATTTAAGGTACTTAATTGGATAAGGATTAATGCTGTATTGCTTAAAATCGCTTGTTCGTAAATAAGCCATTATTTTCTCGTAATAAGTAATTAAAAAATGGTTATTGTGGGTTATACCAAAGAGATAGGCATATACCATCGCGGACTTTTTAGTAGACCTTTTTAAGGTGTACAATACTGTAGTACATTATTTGGATCTATCTCGTTGGGTTCAGCCAGCGTTTGCAATGTAAGCGCAAAAAATGTGTTTATTTACGACCTTATATTAAAAACCTCTAAAATTATCAGTGTTTCTCTACTACATTATGCATGTATTATACATATAAATCTTCCTCTTGAATCACTCTATCTATTAAAAAAAACCGCATCAAAATCCGTTGCGTAGTTTCAAAGATTTAAGCATACAAAGGGACATAGGGACAGAGAAAGCGACTTTGTTTTATACTATGTAGTGATGGTAGGAAAGTCAAAACTGCACATTGTTTTTTTTTTTAAAAAAAAGATAACTTGTGGTGTGACCTACAATCTATATTGAAGCCAACAATATAGTTTTTAGAATTTTTGTCTATTTGTCTGTGTAAATAACCAGGATAAACTCAATAAGTACTGCATGGATTTACTTCAAATTTGGCACGAATATTATTACGAAGTCGGGTCAACATATAGACATGTTATCATTATTAATATTTAACCTAATATAGTGAGATGCTTTAATTAGGCACCTACCTATAGTTGGATATTGGTGAGCAAATAGATAACTTTTTAGTTCCACTGATCTACTGAAGATAATAATATGTAGAGTGTAACCTTCGTCCAGCATACTCACCAATTTGTCTCTAGTTTTATAAGTATAACAGTACTTTTATTGCTTTGGGCAATATTTGTCAAGTTGTGTTGTTTGTTTGAGAACAATTTTTTGACATTCTTGTAATACCATAATTCTATGGTGAGTGTGCTTGGCATAGGTCTCCTCGTATCTACTTATGTGAACAAAAGAGAAAACAAAACTTACAATATTTTGCCTGGTGATTCATTGAGTAATAGTATATGGTTCTATAGGGTAGAAATCTTTGCTGGCCATTTGGGAAGCATTGTGCACCATTTTGTAGCCCCACAAACTCATGGCTTCTTTGCATGCAGTCTGAAAATAAAGAAACATAAGACTTAATTCACTGATAATGTGCATTAGGGTAATATAGTAAATGTAAGCATTTTAAACAGAACAAATTATAAATTCATTAAAATTAAGCGTTTTTTTCAGCTTAATGTTTTTTTTTTATTGGTTGGCTGTGTGTATTTCATAATAGTCCAGTCATTACGTCGGAAAAATCGGGTTAGAAATGCAAATGAACCGAGAAAGCCAAATTTTGGATATTACGTGGGGGGTGGCTAGAAAAGCTTAAGTTCAAATTGTCGACCAAAAAAACCTTGTGGGTTTTCCGCCATCTTGAAAAAAGGGTTAAACTCAGTTTTTTTATCATAACTCGGTTCCCCGTCGAGATACGAAAATTTTTATAGAATACTTTTTTGTTACTCTTTGTACGATCTACAATTAAGGTCCTATACATTTTTCACGTATCGACCATCGTTGTCGAGATATTGATAAAAAAAGCCACAAATTTTGGGAGAATTTTTTTTTTTTCGCTATTTCCTTCTTTCTCACGAAAAATACCGAAAAATGTTTCGAATAAAACTTGTAGAGCCTGTTCAGACCTACAAATTCGTTTTTTAATTTTTCATTTTCGAGAAAAATTACGACCTCCAGCGCGCCGCAAAGTCGGCGCCAATGCGCCCGACGCCGGAATGTGCGTCGCGCCATGGCGGACGTGCGACGGTTGGAGTGTCGGCATGGGTCAGGTATAAAAGACCCTTTTTTGGCGTACGTGCCGGAACATCTGCTCCTTCTCGTAGAACATTCCAGTCAGTTGTCTCGAGTCTTTTGAAGCGAGCGTACGTGTTGAAAAATTTGTGTGAAAATGGGTGATTGTTTTATATGCAAAAAACCTCTCATTGAAAATGTTTATGTGGCTAAAAAGAGAGCTGTACAGACTCTTTTAGCGGCGAGCGTGAAAAGAGGACGTGTGGATCATCAGCAGATTTTACAAGATCTTGATTCCGTGAGTGTTCATAGTTCGTGCTACAAAAAAACAACTTGAACTTCAACAGCAGCCAGGACCATCAAAACGAAGAAAAATGTGTGACAAAAATGACCACGTGTAATATTATTATTTTTGCTGCATAAACATTTAATGATTAATAAATTTCATGTCTTTGATTTATAATTTGGCTGGATTATTCATTTATTTTGTATAGCAATAAATCCCTTAACCAATAATTCCCTTAACCAATAATTCATCAATTTTTACGTTGTGGATACAACCGTGCGAGCGGCTAAATCGAAACCGGGCACAGTCTTACTCACTTTGCGGCGCGCTGGAGGTCGTAATTTTTCTCGAAAATGAAAAATTAAAAAACGAATTTGTAGGTCTGAACAGGCTCTACAAGTTTTATTCGAAACATTTTTCGATATTTTTCGCGAGAAAGAAGGAAATAGCGAAAAAAAAAATTTTCTCCCAAAATTTGTGGCTTTTTTTATATGATCGATACGCGAAAAATGTATAGGACCTTAATTGTAGATCGTACAAAGAGCAACAAAAAAGTATTCCATAAAAATTTTCGTATCTCGACGGGGAACCGAGTTATGATAAAAAAAACTGAGTTTAACCCTTTTTTCAAGATGGCGGAAAACCCACAAGGTTTTTTTGGTCGACAATTTGAACTTAAGCTTTTCTAGCCACCCCCCACGTAATATCCAAAATTTGGCTTTCTCGATTCATTTGCATTTCCAAATGTATATAATGACTGGACTATAATGGCTTCTTAAATTTTAATTAAAATTATGGTCTTATATCTCACATTATATATGTGACATCTCAAATACATATCACAGAAAATTATTGTTTATTACATGGACATTTAATGAATTTGCATGCACTGCACTTTGGTATTGTAACACAAGCACAGTTATCATGCAAAAGAATCACAACTTAATTTTACTAAAGAAGGATGACTCAATTAGTACCTTTTTGGTAACACATAAAATGACTTGCTATTGTGCTGTTGCCTGACTGTCATGACTGTCAGTGAGGCAACTGAGAATTATTTGAGAATATTTGAGAATTGTAGGGCGACCACACTAACCACTTCACCAGAGGCCCAAGCATGTCCTTTTTCAGATCCATAATCTATCGTCATTGTCATATTTTATATGGAATAAGTCAGTTTGTTTTTACGTCTGGTAGTAGGGCTGCTTAGTTATCATAGAAACTTTGACGATGTGATACTATTACGGAGCTGTCAAAGTTCGAGCTTGGGCCTTGGGGCTTCTTAATTATAATGTAAGTTGCACAAATATTGATTCAAATTTATCATTAATGTAGAATATTTTAGAGAACAATTTTTAGTTAAATAGGTCTTATGGAACAATGTTTATGCTTAAAATATTATAAGCACAATCAAATTGTTTGTAGAATGTCCAAAAAAAATTGTACTCTACTTGGTTCACAATCACAAACATGTGCAGTGAAATAAAATCAAAAATTTACCTGCACTTCATCAACATAGTTAAAAAGCAGACTTGTCTTCCATTTGAAAGGTACAGCATTAGAAACCCTGAATGTGGAACTGACTCCAGCAACTTCTGTGGTTGTGTGAGTATGCAGGAATTCCTCTACAGACGGTGTCACATCCAATCTCAAGAATTTAAAGACTTTATGCGCTGTAGCATTTGGGTTGAGTGCCAATTCTTCATATCTCAGTGCCCTGAGAAATTAGAAAAGGAGTAAGACTTTCATTTATGTTATAAACTACCAATAAATATTATATTTTTTTCTAAAACATACTCTTTTTATGTGAATCCAAAAATTACCAGTATCAGTACTAAACTAAAAAAGATTTTATATGCATAGATAATATACTTACATAAGTCTGTTAGGATACTTTTCCATAAACCTACTTGCAGCTACATAGTCACTGATCATATCAGCACATACCAGCTCCGGAGACCAGCAGTCTGGTGAAGGCTGGCAAAAAGACCGGTGCTGCCTTGACTGCATCACACCTCGAGGGTCACGGATGAGCAACACTACTTTTAAATTAAGCCTGAAATTAAAACATTATAAGTTTTATTAATCATCTTGCAAGAGTAGGTTCTCAATCATATTTAACAATTTTATTAATATAATAAATTATTGTAACTATATTTTTGTGAACACTTTTTTAGATAAGTCAGAAGAAATACTGCAATAACACAATATATTATATTTAAAAGTAATAAAACTCACTCTTTGTCTTCCAGCAACTCTTCAATAAGTCTTAATCTGACTCGAACAACTTTCATACTTTGGAACGGGAACAACCTACATATCTTTGTTGTGAAATCAGGATCAAAACATAATTCTTTATTATATTTACAGTGGTCCCATAGTCTCGTATTGTGGCTGAATGCATGTAGATGCCCTTTTCCAAATTCAAAATATTCTGACATACCTTCATGGTTACACTTCATCAAATTCTTCATAAACTTTAAAGCTTTATAAGAGTAAGGCGGGCCTCTAATTTGTATAATGTCATACCATAAAAAGGGCTCATAATGGTAATAATTACCTGGCATAGCGTTTAATAGTTCACCAAAGAAAGTCGAACCCGACCGCCAGGTTGAAACAATTAGACTCCTTAATGGTGTTCCTCCAGATTCCATCAGTAAATCCTCTAAGTTGCTAACACCAGAGATTGTGAAATTATAATTCAACAATTCAATCCTAATTTTGTTACGGGTTTTCTCTATTATCTTATCTATATTAGGCAAACCATCATAAGGGTTAGTTGGTATTGGCTGCGCAAGGTTGTCATCACCATCTTCAATTTTCAAATAGTTCCTAATCGTCTTGCGAGTTTCAGGAGGCGGGTGGTAATTTATGTTATCTGTATATTTCGTTCCAGCAAGAATTAATAGAACACTGAGACCAAATGCGAAACATATTGAATAAAAATTAAGTCTACGCAACATTACGTCTTTAATACGACAAAAACTTTAATATTAACAAAAATCTGTGTGAATTGACTGTAGAAGATGGAAGTATTTTAATTATACACTACCAACACTCACTCACTATCATTTTGTAAAAGTTTTTGACCAAATGGACCACATTTCAATCATAATTCTTCAATTCGCGTTTCCGCGGAAACACCGCATTGCACCTTTACGGCCATCTTGCACGGTATTTCAAAATGTCAATGTCAGTCGTGCTTGTGTCATCTGGACAGATATTTTTGTTGTCCGATTTCGACCTTCGCCTGTCCCGAAAATTCTACTACCTACTTGTACGATTTCAGCGCTGTTATATACTGGCTTTCAGCGATGGTCCTACGGTTTTCAGTCTTCCCCGATCACAGTTTTGTAATATTAATCGCCGCTTAAAATCGTATTAATTCTCTGTCTCTCTCTCTCTCTCTTCATTGAAATTAATATTTATCGCTGATATGATGAAAATGCATTTTATGCAACAACCACAGAACAGGTACATACTTATGTATAGGTACGCATGGGTACTGGGGTACCCCGACCGAATACGCTGACCGGAGTTCGGCCAAATAGGGACTGCGCGTGCAGGGGCGGGCGGTCTTGTACTTATTTCCTAATGTAATGTTTATTAGTTGTAGGTACTTTTGTTAGCCACTCGATGACGCACTGCGTTGAGTTCAACCTGTTTTAGCATTTAACTACAACAGTCTATACAATAATATCTTGCTTACCTTGCCTATTACTATTATGGATTTACCTTGAATAACTGTACTCAAACGCATAAATCAAATTCATTTAAATTTGACAAAAAGCAACAAAAAACCGAACTTTTACAAGTAAGTACCTAATATTAACAATTTGGAAAAACAAACCCCCCTGGGTTACAACGAGTCCTAGGGTTGAGGTTTTAAAAAAAATAACCGAGTTTTAAATTAAAATTAATTGGCACAAAAACCGTCACAAACAGTAGCTTGGGTACAACGATATTCAAAACCTTAGATCCACTACATGCGCTCAAAATTTGTCGCAATAATGAACAAGAAGTGCTCAAGCACGTCGTGTTCAAACACGACTCAGCACTTGTTGGTTCACTTCACCGTCACGCGCGGAAAGATGCCGCAGGGCTCTGTGAAAAAATGCAAAAAAATATTAATAGTATGTAAAGTGGTTTTTTTTCTTTAGTGTAGTTTTTTCGACAGGTATCAATACAATGTTTGCTATTTCAACGCATTAGAAGTATTTTTTTTTCTAATACTTACTATAAATGGATATATAAAGACAATATTTGTGATATTCAAATGCATGGTCGGTAATACTCGTATAGCCGTCTCTTTTCCTCGCGGCCCGTACCTGTTATATTGCTATCAGTGCTTTCAGAAAGTCAAAGAAATAAGGTCTATATTCTTTCGCATACAGCAATAAGTGCATGGGACGACGAGCTTAAATTCATGACATTATATTTAGGTACCTATATGTTGTATATTTTTATAATATGCTTTACAAGGCACGGGAATTTCAATAATACCAGTGCCAAGAGGAGGTTCCTCTGGCAGAGTAGAGTTATTACAATCAATGGTTAATTTCTTAGGGCTAGATAGATTTTAACCATCTATTAATACGGAGGGGTTTCCATACATTTACATTACCATGAATAAACTAGGTTTTACACTGGTGACTATGACTATATATTACAACACTTAATGAGTCTAGTCTTGTAGAATTATGAGGAACAGGCAATGGTACATTTTGGTACATATAAAACTGTTGTGGAGTTACTTGAGGAATTTGCAATACAAACACCATCTTATTACTTAATAGTATAATAACAAATTACTTTACTTAAACTAATAATAATGTGTATAAGGTTTAACTACGGCGAGCTCAAAACCATTGGGTAAGTGTCTATAGCTATTGGCGAGATCCTCGAAAAGATTTCGTGGTGTTATTACAGAGGGATGAATGACGTTAGCGCTACTGAATAATACTGAAATCCTCAAGTTGGAAGAATAAAGTAAGCAGGGATGATTCTAAATTAATGAAGCTATATTTATTTTTTGTTCTTAAGATGATCTGGGTTTATAAATATCGCTAGGTTGGCATTTAAAAATTACACTCCTTTATCTGGGCAACTAGTTTAAACAATTGCCTGGTTTATTGTAAGTAACTGAAAAAGTTAGCACTCAGTTTAAAATTATATTCCAAATCACATTAGATTTATCATATTAAAATAATTATAATAAACAATAACGAATGTTCAGACTTTGTACCCGACGAGATGCATTTTTCCAATTGTTTCACCCAAAAAGAACCACAAAGTAATTTCAGTCCCGACCAGAATAAGCAACCAAGCTTGACGGACTGTTAGATGCTTCCAGCATCCATTTTTGATAAATTCTTTGACCAGTTGCAAATCAGATTGCAGTTTCTGAAAATAAAAAATACGGTTTAATAATAAAATCTTTATACATATTTCCTAGGTCCGCGTGTAAGTTCCTGAACTCCTAAAAAATTGTACCTTTCGATTTCGATAAAATTTTATGTGTGAATCGAGCCCTAATGGCTTACATTTACAGCTAGACCCAGCATGTGGCGATGTAGTCGGGTTGTATAATGGCGCACTTACACTTGGTCGTTAGACCGAATACAAGTGGTAAACAGCTAAGTGTAAATGAATGGATTCCAGTACGCCCGTATTCAGGTAATTTTAGTTTTGGTTACCCAACACAGTATTTCAGTCCGTATTCCAGTGTAAATATTGCTTCGCGTGCCCGAATTCGAGTGATGTCTTTCGCGCACCCGAATACGGGCTAACGACTTAAAGTAATTGACCAAATGTAGTTAACTCATGAAGCTGAAACTAGCGCACGTTGTAGCAACCACATCCAGCAGCGAGACCATCACAAAACGTATTTGTGGCAACTGTTTTAGGTTTTCTTATTTATTTAAAAGTAAAGGAAAATTATTAAGTTGTTTTCACGATACCTAACGCTATTTGCGAATTTTGCGAATAACGGAGATTTTACAAGTGAAAACTTATACTCTTGCTTTGTAACGTATTTTTCACCACTGTTTTGGTCATTTAAAATCAAAGCGAAAGAAATTGTTTTTCACCCTCGTAAACATTACACCTAATGTTGTTTTCACATGAAGAATCGTCTGATGTCACATATTTCACCTTGCCAGCACTTACAAATAGCGTTCAGTACACTCGGGAAAACAACTTGATTACTTTCTTTTCCTTTGAAATAAATAAGAAAACCCTGGAAAAACTGGGTGTTTCTGCTACAATGTCCGCTAGTTTCAGCTTCATATATTTCTGAAAAGCTTTTTGTAGAATAGCTATTTAGCTCGAATGCCTAGACTAGATTAGAAAGGTACCAATTTTTGATTCGTTGTACTTGTAAGGCAGCAGTTTTTTAGTTTATTAAATTAGTTTTTGGAAAATTGCAATGTGAATTATTAGGTATATATAATGTGGAAGTGTTTTTAATACAAATTGAGTATTTTTTATTCTTATGTAATATATACAGTAAATTAATGTTATTTTTAAATATCGGAAAGACTATCGGAAAACTAAACAATGGTTGTCTGAATTAAACGCTGGATGGTTTTGCTAACGGAAAAATATAAAACGTTCATTTATTGAAAGATTATTATTGAAGATTTAGAACAATATCTGAAATAATCTAGTCAATTCCTGTACAATTCTTCAATTTTATTTTAAAAGTATAATTAGTAGTTACCTGCATTTCAGTTTGGCTTGTTGGCGGTGTCATTTCTAAAGTATAAAATCCCTTAGTAGATTTGATTTTCTTTACGATTTCTGAATTTCGAGCGACCTCTATTTTTTCTGTAAAATATGTGATTTCTTATAACTAATTGTTGATAGCCAAACAACTCAGTGACACAGTACGTTTAGCGATTTCATAAATTAGGCAACTTTCGTCAGGGACAGTTATTGGATGTGTGTATTAATTAATGATTTAGTCGTTTGCAATCGTTAGCATAACACTAACAGTATAAACTGAGCCCATAATTATGATGCATATAATGCATAAACGCATTCTATAGCCTATCCTCCTTGTATGACCCCTATAGGGAAAGCCTGTATAAGCTAACAAATGATGATTAAAAGTTGAACTGACAATCAGAGATTACTATGTCCGATCAGGACGCCGATCTTCTTTATTTTCCATAATTACAAGTTGAATTTATTAATTAAATTTACAAATATTGTCGTTACCTACACTTTATTATTATAAGCACACAAAAGTGTATCTGATATTAAAATAATTTAGAACACTTTAATAATTTTAATGGAACAAATCGTGAGACTTTCCTAAGAACGTCCACGCGCCTATCGAAAGCTCGTCCTGAATTGGTGAAAATCATAAGTATAATTAAATAATTTTACCTTTAATCGATTTTATTATCTTTTCGTTTTTCCTATTTATAGTAGGGTGTACATTTTCAGCTATTTCATGAACCCAAACCGATCTGGGACCTGCTAAATAAAATAAATTACTGGTAACCGTTTTCGTAAACAATCAAACAGTCACGGATTCATCAAATAATGCTACTGCACGGACCTTAAAAAATATCCTTTTTCAGGTAAATATAATAAAATAAGAATATTTTTGTGAGCAGTAGCATTTTGTTATAGAATGAAGAGATTTTAAGTTAAAAAAAATCATAGGTGGTATTAGAATTTACTAAATGCACAGGTAAGAAGTGGATAAACGTTTACGATAACCACTTACGGAATAACGTTTTCAATATCTTTGGATATTTTGCTGCACTAGCCATTTTAGGGCAATTTCAGGGGAAATACTTATTCAATCGACCCCTGCCATTGATGTCAGTTTATTTGTACCTAGACAGGAGGATTTTATTTATAATAAATCTATGATTTTTATGCCTGCTCTACACTTACGACTTAAAAAATCTAAAATTTTCAGCGTTGTCATTTCTTATGTGCGAGTGTCGTTATTACAATTTCGTTTTTGCGAAAGTATATTGGACTGCTTTGTGTGATATTTCTCCCCCCGCAAAAGCCGGCACAATGATTTCAGTAGTATTATGTCATTTTGGCTACTCCCCTCCTAGCTACGTCGGCTGTATTGCTCTTCCCGATCATCGGTATTTTGTCTCGCGACAAGGGGGTGCACAAGCAGCAAGTTCCTCGCATATTTTGCAGTAGATTTCACGAATGTGTCACCCGAAAATGTAGTAGAGAGTCACCATGGTAGCTTTCTAATTACAGCATTATAGCGCATTATGCGGCATAATGCTTAACGTTGAGTGTTCCAACTACAGCAACGCTTCGCACAATTGAGCACTCTAAAAAGTAATGCTTTCGTGTGATGCGTGCAATCGTACCAACCCAGTGACAGAAAATTAACAAGTGTTTTTTCTTTAAGTTGTCATTGATCGAAATGTTTTATTTATATGTTATCGTAAGTAATATTATTTATTGTTGAAAAATTATTAAAGCTTTCGTTTCATTAAATAGTTTTTTTTAAACAATCAAAGTTAATTCAAACTGTTAAAAAAATAAATATAAGTATGGATGAAGGTACAAACATTGACTTTTTTTTTCAACACTGAACTTAGCGCACTCTGCTGGTGCATTTGAAAACTAATTCACGTTCCAATTAAGCATCAGCATAATTGGGCATTGTGAGGCACTGAGTCGCATTATGCTCTGTAATTGGAAAGCAACCCATAACTGCCATGAAATCACGGTGCACATTCACGTCATGATTACGCCTAATTTTTAAGTGGAAGATGGTAATTGATCATCATCATTAGCCTATTAATGTCCCCACTAGTGGGGCACAGGCCTTTTCTATAGAGGGAATAGGGAGATTGGGCCATGACCCACGCGGGCCCAGTATTGTGGGTGCTAACGACTGCATATGCAGCTGGGAAGCACGGTGGAGCTTGAGATACAAAAGTTTTTAGTTACCCATTCAATGGCTGACCACTGCGAAAGTTGCTTAACTTCAACGATCGTAACCGAAAGCGCTAACCTTGCGTTATCGAGCTCTTTAGGGGGATAGTTGGTTGAGTTAATACATATTTTTTAAGATTTAATTAAGTATTTAATAGCAATAGTTTTTATTTTTAATAATAATCTAAGGTGTTATAATATTTTAATGTACTTATGTAAGTTTACAACACAATATAACTTAGGCATCATATCTTACACAGGTACGAGAATGGCATCAGGGAAAGGACAAGTGATACTCTAGTATAAGCTCTAGTATCGCAAGCGGCCTAAGTGCTACCTATAGTGCCATTAATTTATGATGGTGACCTCTTATAACTCTTCTCAGCATGGGATATATAAGTTTGACACTGTTTTACAATAAAAAAACCATTAAGAATCATTCTGCTTATCTGCCCTCAGACCGTATTATTCGAAAATGTTTTCTGCCTACAGATAAGGTTGGACCTTCGAGGCGCGCATTTTGTAGGTCCTTTGCGGTCATACCGTAAATAAAGTCCTGCAATTCTGTAATACCGGAAATATGATACGACTTTAACAAAAAGAAATGTACACGATTTATTTAAAAAAAATACACAATTTCACAGTTACGAATATGACATTGTAAAATACATAGTACATTAAAAAAATAAACTATTTTGAAGCTGGTGGTTTTTTGGGTGTTGGTGTTTTGGGTATTGGTTTTTTGGGTGTTGGCTTTTTAGTACTTGGTTTTTTCTTTGATTCTACTTTTTTCGTAGGTTTTGCTGCATTCTTTGTTTGTTCGGCTTTCTTTGCTTGTTCAGCTTTCTTTGCTTCTTCAGCTGCCTTTGCTTCGGCTTTAGCCTTGGCTTCTTTTTCAGCTACTTTACGTTTTTCGTCCTCCTCCTTTTTCTTTTTCAATTCTTTGGCTTTGGCTTCTGCCTTAGCCTTTTCTTCTGCTGCTTTAATAGCAGCCTCTTTTTCTTTCTTTGCTTTCAGCTCAGCTTCATCAATTTCCTTTATTTTTCTACCTAAGTTGGAAATAAAACCATCTACAGATTTTGCAACAGATTCTTCCATCTTTTTTCCTGGAGCCCCATTAAAGAAGCTTAGCGTCAGCGGCGGTACCATTTCAACTTTTGCGTATTGCCATGCAGTTCCTAATACTGGCCTCAGTGATTTACTAGTAGCTAAAAATATAATAAAACAGAAACTTTTTATTAAAACATTTTTTATTCGGCTAGCATTATAAAGTTTTTAAGTATATTTTAACATTTTTTTTCACTATCGCCTCTGCCATTAGCTGAAATTCTCTGCCTTACTTTATCCAACTCTTTTTCGAGATATTTTTCTTCCCTTGGTAATTGTTTATCTCGTAGGGTTGTTATAGCAGACTCTATTAATTCAGCAAACTTATCTAGGGCAATCTCAAGTTTATCAACAACAACGTTGCTAACTAGTGGTTTTGCTGATGTTTTCAAGACTGCTGATTTAGTTGCTCCCCATATCTTGCCAATGGTAGGTCGGACTTTGGTCACGGAAACTGAAAACAAAACAAATGTGGATATAATTAATAAGAATATTACTTAGGTCAATCTCATAGAATTCTCTAACACACACCACATCCACTTTGTTTTGCTTTAAACAGTTTCCTTGGATACATTCTGTAATTCCATTAACTCCTAGGTATTGTAGTTTAAATAAGTAAATAATATTAAACGGAAAATTATTTTAAGCTCTTCACATTGCCCTTTATGCTATTGACAGTGTAAAGAGCCAAAATGTCTTTGAAAACATTAACAAATTCAAATACAAGCTATAATAAATAGCTTATGTACCCACGCAATTGTCCGTAAATGATTTAATTAGTTACTTTAATTTACATTCACATACCCAAAGCTAAGTCGAGGGCTATTCTGGTTGCTCTTGCCATTTAACCAACTATAAATATTGTACCTGTAATACTTTCATGGAAACAGAAATTTGGGTTTATTTAAAATGTGATGATTTATTTTGATTAGGGGTTGTCACCCTCCCGATTGATCTTAAGATGTTGATGGATAATTATTGTCTTTGAGTATCAGGCACAAGTATATAACTTCCTTGGTATCAGGTGAAAAATGGTGACAAGCATCACAATTTTATGATTAAATACTCCTTCGTTATTTTTTTATCTAGCCTACTACAAGCTATTATATCTACGGTTACTTTAGGTTTAAAATTTCTGATACGGCAATCTTCGTACTACCTAAAAGTCGATAAATATCGTCGTCGCTATCTTAAAATATTTAGATTGTTTAATTTAATTGAAGGATTTTACAACCGAAATAAATCAAATATTAATGAAAATGAATATTCAATAACTTGTACATATAAGGCTTAACAACAAACTAGTGAACTTTTGTTGATTTTTTTCAATCACCTTGTAATATGATAAAGGAGATTGCTCAGCTTCCATACATGTTTGGCCTAAAGACAAATAATCATGAAAAATTGTTTCCTAGATTCGAAATTATATATAAATTACTGTAGAAACGAATATTATTGACGGGCACCCCTGAGAACTTCTATAAACCATATACACTGAACATATTAAAATAATAAAAAACAAATAAGTTATATAGTAAACTAGGGCAATCAAGTCAAGTACCGAAATTATGGATTAGATTCAGGTATATAGAGCATGTAGATTAACAGATAGTTGCCTGTTTTTAAAGTTAATGCATAAGAGTAACTTTTAAAATCAGGTGTCATTTCCGGTTATAATATGGTACTCTGTGGCAGAAACTGTGTGATGATTGTGAATGAGCCACAGATTAGAGTGAATTTTTAAACTCTCGTTAACCAAAGAAAGTTAAGAGATTTGGGTTCTATAGTCATATATTCAGTAGCTTTATTATTTTTGTTATGTTTTTAAGATAACCATATTTTAGATTTTTAGTGTATCACACCAGATTATAATGTGTTTATGGAGGTATTTGGCGAAAAATGTATGGCAATAGACTTTATGATGTCGCCTACCATCTATAATAATTGTCTGAGCACATTTGCATCTAGTGAAAATGATAATATAGTTGTAGATATTAATACCACAGTGTAATAAAAAAAATGATTTATTTTATCGATCTTTTCAGAATAGATTTGTTTTTATGTTATATAAACAACTTCGATCAGTCTTTGGCTGAATATTACACCCATAGCCATTAAAAATGATTCGTATGTTTTCCAAATCGGTAAAATTAAAAGTCCTTTTTAAAGTAAATATATTATACAAAGGTGTCCGTTGCAATCTAATGACTGTAAATTAAATTATAAATTACGCCAAGAATTACCGTGTATGTGAAATTTTTTTGTGCATTTGGGCCAATTTGAGCAATCTTCTTTAACAAAATTCTTCAAACCACTTCAAACATGGCTGTGTCATGACATGCCCTCTCTCGCTACCTTATGACTTTTTGGGAAACTAGGAATGGGTCTATAATTTTGGAAATTAATGTCAAATTTTGTATGGAAACTTGAACAGCAGCGGCACAAAGTACGTAACGAGAACTAAAAATCAGTACACATTTGACAATGACATTCCGGACTCGCAAACGTTACGAATTCGATATTGGATCGTGCTAAGGGTACTGTACCCCTAGCACGAACCATTATCGAATTCGAATAGTTTGCAAACCGAAATGTCAATGTCAAAAATTGTATGGAAACTTGAATAGCAGCGGCACAAAGTACGTAAACAGAACTAAAAATCAATACACATTTGACAATGTCATTTCGGACTCGATTTCGATTCGAATTCGATATTGGTTCGTGCTAAGGGTACTGATAACTTTTTGACAGTGCGAGTGATATGGTCTCGGCTTGGCAACATTTTAAATGAAAATGTATTTGGTGGGATAAGATTTACAATTAAAGAGAAAAAATTACAGTTTGTACAAGATTTGTGATTATCTGTAATTATTGTTACAAATATAAAGTGTTTTAACTGTAATAACTGGATAGGGTTGGGCATTTTAGCATTAACTTTGAGTAAGTATGCCTTTATATTTACCTCTTTTAATTAACTTAA